AGGCCCCAGAAACTGGAAATGGAGATATTTGGGTAGACAAGCTTAATAATTTTGAGCTTCTAAATTCCTCTGAACTCTCCAGGCAGGCAGAAATAGCCTCTAACCATTCGCCAAGAGCAACAGTCTCCGCTTGCCTGGGGGAACATACATTAACCTATCTAATCTGAAGCAGGTGCCTTTCAAGATGATTCCTGTTTTCCTCAAGATAATGCCTCCGACGTCTTTCATTAGCTGCCTGGCTGAAAACCAAAGTCAGGTTTCAGCACAGCCTGAGCAGGAAAGTACAAGCTCTGCTTTGGGGAAAAAATAGCCCACATGCCAAAGGAATTGCAGGATCTGGCTAACAGGTAGGTAGGTATTTGCTGAAACTGGGGGAACATGTGTAGGAGAAGTGTATACTGTTCTGTTAGACTAGCAGGACAGAATTCAAAGCTGGATAGTGCGAAATTAATTAACATGGGGGTACCTAATGATGATCCAGGATTCCTAATAACTGGGGATGGCTTCTCGATGCACAGATCTGATAATGTTCTACATCAAATGAGGTAGAGATGGTAGAACTTCCATGGCTTTGAATGGAAGAAAGGGTCAGAAGTCTCAGCGAGGTGGGAATGGTAGAGAGGATTTATTAGGTATGTGCTCAGAACCCGCCACTTGGCTATGTTTCCTGGGATGGTCCGAGGGTATTTCCTTCACGGAGGATGTAGGAATGAAACAATGAGAGGAGCACTAGCACCTTTGGAGAAGTTGTACACACCAGGGTTGATAATAGAAGATTTTGTGATGAAGTTTAGCTTCACAACATTAGTGGGGAAGATATAATTCCAGAACAGCAAAGGCCAGGTGGTAGCAGTTAACAGAGGCTACTAATGTAATCATTGTAAGGACAGCCAGGCCACAGTGACAATGAAATTGCCTTTGCCTACAGTAGGGGTGGGGGTCCTTTTTTCTGCCAAGGGCCACTTGGATATTTATAACAGTTTTCTGGGCCATATAAAATTACCAACTTAAAAATTAGCCTGCTATATTTGTCCAAATATCTAATGCCTGGATAAGGCCAGAACAAAAGTTTTTGCAGGCCTTATGTGACCCACGGGCTGGATGTTAACCACCCTTGACTTACAGAGATGGCTATCTGGTGGTAGCTAATGGATTGAGGTATTAAAGGGGCAAGATGAATAAGCACGCAACAAAGGTGCTGCTCCACGTGTATAATCAGAAAACTCAAAATGTTATCCGTCCAAAGTCCATGTGCCCAACACTCTGAAAGGCCAAAACTGAAAATGTCAGACGTGGGGGAGTAAAGTAAGATTTATTAATGGAGAAAACACCAACCAAGAAGATGGAAGACCTCATCCTCAAATCCATCTGAAGGAAGTACTGAGTTCAGGCTTCTTTTATATCAAGGGAAGGGGAAATGGGCAGGATAAGAAATGATTGATGCCAGCAGGCATCTGAGAAAGATGGTGCTAGTTGATGTAAGTCTGAAGACGAGGTTCCTGCAAATCTATGGTAAACAATGTGCGCTTTCCTTATCTCCTCGGGAGAGACACTATCTGGGAAGGGGCTGTTTCATAAAACTCAAGTTGAAAGCAAAATTCCTCTAATGAGTAGCATGTCTATATGTAAGACTAAGCAGAAGCTATAGCCTGAAGGTCATAGAACAGGCAGGCCTGAGCAAGATGAAGTCAGAGAGGCTGAACATTTCACTCAGTAACAATGACATTGCAAGCGAACATCTGATATCAATTGCTGCAATGGAAAACAGTGGTTCCTCATTTGGTTCCAGATCTTAAGCAGTTCATAAACTCAGATATAACCTGCCTCACTCCAATCCATCTAAAATACATAAAACACAGACTAGATCATGCTCTTTTCCACTTAGGAACTTTTCATAGTTCCCAAGTAAATAATTATATTAGCAAACATTACCATAGCACTTACTATGTGCCAGGCACTATTTTATGGGTTTTACATATATTAACTCATTTATTTCCAAACAAAGCAAAATTATGAGGTAAGTAGTAGTATTATTTCACCCTCATTTTACAGATGAATAAACCAAGGCACAGTGAGGCTAGTACCTTGGAAAAACTGAGGATTCAAACCATGTTTTCAGGCCCCTCAATTTGTCTTTAACCTCTCTATTACACTGTTTTTCTAAGACTCCCCACTGAATACAGAACCAAGTGAAATTTCTTAGCACATCTTCCATCTACCTACTATATTTAATAATGTTTCTCTTTCTGTCTTTTTTTTTCTGCCTTTGGATCTATTGCAGTTTGTGGTTTACCACAATGGACAGATTACTTATGTAATTTGCTGTTTATATTTATGACTGTATCTTACTCAGGCTTTTCTATCATTCAGGGATAACCTTCTAAATGTTTTATAACTTTTCATTCACTCATTTCAACAAAGATTTGAGTCATCCTCTATGCCAGTTGTTAGGCTGGGGTGCTAGGTCATCACAGCAAATAGGCAAATCCCTGTTGCAAGGGTCTTCCTGTTAATGAGTTGCAATTACTGTCCAGAGGCTAAAGCATCACCTCTTCTACCATCCTCGGTTCTCTTTCCAATTCCAAGCTCCATGTTGAGACTCTCTTAGCATTTTCTAACCCTCCATCACAGCACATTTCACGGAATGTCATTTTTTTTTATTTTAATTTTAATTGATTTCAGAGAGGAAGGGAGAGGGAAAGAGAGATGGATAGAAACATCAATGATGAGAGAGAATCATTAATGGGCTGTCTACTGCACATCCCAAACTGGGGACTGAGCCCTCAACCTTCTATGTACCTTGACTGGGAATCCAACCATGACTTCCTGGCTCTTAGATCTATGCTCAACACTGAGCCATGCTGGCCGGGCTCATAACATATCTTTTTATCATGGTTAGTTGCATGTCATCTGTTTCTTGTAGGGAATGGGTGGATTCATTTATTCATTGTATGTCACCCATGGTTGCTGAATGAAGGGATGAAGAAGTTAAAAATAAAGTCTACATGAGATGGTGAGGTGGCAAGGGGAGAACTTATGCTTTTAAAAATATACCATATTTATATGTACATATTTGGGATGGTCCAAATGATTAAAAGCTAAATTGGGAATAGAAAGAATATTAACTTTATTATTTCTTTCTCTAATAGTTGCTTTAGATGAACAAAGACTCTTGGAAGGGCAAAAAAGAGCCCTGCAGCCTACAAAGACATTAATTATAAGGAAGCAGCAATTTACATTATTTATAAGGAGCCTATTTACATTCCTTAGCCCTGTCAGACACAACAGTTGCAGAGCTCCATCCTTTCACTACCGTGAACACAATAAAGCAAAGTGACAAGGAAAGAAAAAAGATATTCTAATAGCTGCATTTCATTACAAGAAAGATAACACCTCAACTATTAAAAAAAAAATGCTTCCAATATAAATCTAAATGGAAGAAAAACTCATTTTACCACGATGATGATTCAGAGTATAGCACTCATTTAAATTATTCAGACAAGCTCCAAAATCTACTGAAGGTTAAGCATTGTTAACAGTATGTGCAAGGAGAAAAATGACTAAGATGCAATGTTTCATAATTCAAGTATTTGAAATTAATTAGTCACATTTCCTTTACCAGTGACTTTGAAATGTGCTTGCGCTATGACTGACTAAGATTGTGAGAGCAACTAGGTCATGGGAGAAAAATCCCAACTTTATCTGTTTTATTTTTATTTTCTTTCCTCCTCTCTGGTCACTTCCATTTAGTTTTATCTGGCAGTTTCACTTTCATCAATATAATTATAGCTAGTACTCAGTGGCAAATTACACCAGCCTTTTATCCTAACTGGACAAATCTGTTATGTAAGAACAAGGATCAGAAAAGAAAGATTTACCAAGCTGAATGAAAAAAGAGAGAGAGATTTAAAAATACTTTTTTGTAAATGTCCCCAAAAGAAATATTTTTAGGGCTATATTTTTAAAAGTCTTGCCACTAGTACACATTAATGTCCAATAGTTAAGATTGAGTAAAATGCACTTTAATTTAGAATATAGTGATCATTAGGATATGTTTGAAATACAAATGAGTCAATATAAAGTAGCCATAATTGTTAGACACTGATATCACTCCCACAGTTATAAATCTCAAGAGACAAATAGAGGGAAGAGAATGAACCAGTTGCATGTACTTGATTTTTAAATTGCTTGTCATGTATTTTTAAAATTTCAATTTGATTGATACACTTAGTGGTTTGGATATGGTCCATACAGCCTCTTCATTTTGAGCAGACTGGCATCAAAGGCTTTGAAGTCAGAAGGCTAAGACCCGGTTGGTACCTGACTCCAGGGTTTACTCTGACTTTGGTCAAATGACTAAACCTCTGTAAACGTTGGTTTTGTCAACTATGAAAGGGAGATACTAAATAATACCTTAAGTTGTGAATCTATCCTATGGACTAAGATAATGTTTAAATGTTTAGAACAATGCCTAGTGCATATTAATGATGATAATCATCATTATTAAGCGGTCTAAATAATAATAAAAAAAAAAAGGTATATTGCCAAAGCCGGTTTGGCTCAGTGGATAGAGCATCAGCCTGCAGACTGAAGGGTCCCAGGTTCAATTCCGGTCAAGGGCATGTACCTTGGTTGTGGGCACAACCCCAGTAGGGGGTGTGCAAGAGGCAGCTGATTAATGTTTCTAACTCTCTATCCCTCTCCCTTCCTCTCTGTAAAAAATCAATTATATATATATGGTATAGTTTGAATCTGTAAGTTTTAAGTTTTGATTCTCCTATTCGTGGACTGTCTAGAACCTTCACCCTCCCCACATATCCCCCCCCAAACCTTCAGGGGTGTCCATTGCTTTCAGGGCCTGGCTCTTTCCTTCCTTCGCCCTCCAGGGGCCACTGTGCTTCCCCCCGAAAGCGCGCTGGTTGGATGCCTGGTTGCCAGGACACCGTTGCCAGGCAACCGCGTCTGTACACTCTGGTGCTGCCGGCCAGGGTCTAGTGGACATGGCGGCGCTCGGCCGTACCTCGACGACCTCGTCCAGCTTGTCGGTGATCTCGGGGTCTCCGCCGGGACTGCCGGTGCCCCTGCTCCCCCTCTCCGACACGGCCTCCAAGTCTCCCCTGCAGTCCAAGACCAGCTCCCAGGACTCGCTGCCCAGCTCCCCCTGCGGCGAGGACGCGCTGCCCCTCGCCGTGTTCTATGGGCCGCTGGACGCTAAAAACCCGCTCCTGGCCGCCCTGGAGAAGGAGATACAGGAGTTGCTGGGCTTCATGAAGAGAAAGAAAGCTTTATCGACCACGGAGGAGAAGAAGCACGAGTTCAACCGGCGTGGGTGAGCGCAGGCGGGGCGCTGGCGGGAGGGGGCGGGGCGGGGATGGGGAGGATGCGGGTGGACCCTGAGCTTGGACCGCCCGGGCCCCTGGATCTGTCCACAGAGCTTAAGAAATGGAGACTTTTCCATCCTTAATTGTATCTTTGCTTCCTGCTTGGGCCAGTGTTTCTTATTCCTTGTTTCTGAGTATCTCCTCATTGCTACTCCAGACCAGTACCTTTTAGGCTCGCTCTCGGGTTTTGCAAAAGTTTCCTGGCTGTGGAGACAGTTTTGTTTGTACAGGGAGGAAAAGGAGTAACTTTGAGGTCGTTGATGTTCTTGAAAAAGTTTCTGAGGCCATGAGGCATGCCATTGTGTGAACATGCGCTTTTAATTCCCTTTTTATAGTCTGCTTAGGACCACAGTGACCTTTTGATTTTTGCGACTAATTCGGCACATCTGTTTGCCGTTTGGGGGTTTCTATCACTGTTATTATCTCAAACTGCAAACTACCTGCTGTTAAGTTTCTTTTCTGTTTACGGTACTGTCTTTTGCCTCCCAGTCAAAATACAGTGCAAACTGCACAGTTATCAACCTAGACACATGGCAAAGAACACCAGAATATTGAATCATTTCAACTGATATTTCTATCTGTGCATTTAAAATAAAGAAGTAGATGCCGAAGCCGGTGTGGCTCAGTGGTAGAGCGTTGGTCTGCGGACTGAAAGGCCCCAGGTTCGATTCCGGTCAAGGGCATGTACCTTGGTTGCAGGCACATCCCTGGTTGATGTTTCTCTCTCATCAACGTTTCTAGCTCTTTCTCTCTGTTAAAAATCAATAGAATATATTAAGAAATAAGATTATTAAACAATAAAAAATAAATAAAATAAAGAAGTAGATTTAAATTATGTTTATTATTCTTTCATGTCTTTAACTATTTATTGAGCACCTACTATCAATATACACATCAGGCACTGTACTAGGAAAACATCAAATTAGCAAAATATATAAACATTTGTACCCTCACGAAACATTATTTTTTGTGACTACAGATGGCTACTAAACACATATGTAGGGAAATTATTTCATAAGGAGGTAGTGGTGGGGAGAAAATTAGAGCAGGTAGGGGGGGGGGCACGGATATGGGATGGGTGTTGAGATTTAAAATTGGGTGATAAAGCCCTAAAATTGGGTAATAGAGCCCCACTGATTTAGCTCAGTGGATAGAACGTCGACCAGTGGACTATTGGGTCCCAGGTTCGATTCCAGTCAAGGGCATGTACCTTGGTTGGGGGCACATCCCCAGTGGGGGGTGTGCAGGAGGCAGCTGATCAATGTCTCTCTCTGATTGATGTTTCTAACTCTCTATCTCTCCCTTCCTCTCTGTAAAAAAATCAATAAAATATATTTTAAAATTGGGTGACAGGGGGGATGGTCAGGGAAGGTCAGGAAAAGTGGCCCTTGAGAAAGATGAGCAGAGATGGTAGCAAATGTTGAGTATTTCTGTAGAAAGGACTTGCCAAGCAGGAAGACTGGCAAATGTGAAGGTCCCCGGATTAGACTGTGACTGTGGGAAGAACTGGTTTCTGGCAGGAGCGAGGGAAATCGTGATTTTAGTATTTAGATATATTCAGATTGAGATGCGATTCAACATTCAGGCAGAGCCATTATGTAGATACTTGAATATTTGGATCTGTGAGTTAGAGAAGATATACAGTTGAGATTTGTCAGCACATGGATGATATTTAAATGGTGGTGCTTAATGGAATAGTTGAGGGAGGGAGTGGATAGAAAAGAGGAGAGTCCAAGGACTGACCCCTGGGGTACTTGAACATTGACCATGGTGGGAGGGGAGGATAAAAAAAAATTTTAGCAGAGATTTAAAAGAGTAACCAAGGAAGTCAGAAAAAATCAGTAAGTGAGTGATATATTGGAAACCAGGTAAAGAAAATGTCCCAGTGCCCTAACCAGTTTGGCTCAGTGGATAGAGGGTCAGGATAGAGCGTGGGCCTGCAGCCTGAAGGGTCCCAGGTTCGATTCCAGTCAAGGGCATGAACCTTGGTTTGCGGGCACATCCCTAGTAGGGGGTGTTGCAGTGTTGCAGGAGGCAGCTGGTGGATGTTTCCCTCTCACCGATGTTTCTAACTCTCTATCCCTCTCCCTTCCTCTCTGTAAAAAATCAATAAAATGTATTTATTTATTTTTTTTTTTAAAAAGAAAGTGTCCCAAGGAGGATGCGGTGATTGATCAACTGTGGCAAATCCCGATGATGGGCCGAGTAATATGAGAACCAAGAATCAACCAAGGAGAGCACATTACACACCTAAGCTATATGTATTTGTATTGAAAATATTTCCGTGTTTGCGCCTTAGCTAGCACTTTATCTTTCTATCTCCACTGCCAAAATTCCAGTTCAAACCACCACCATCTTGGGTTTTCCCTGCAGCTACTCGATGCTCAGACATATCCTTCACATAGCAGTCAGGGCAACCTTTATGAAAAAAAAATCACTCACTCCGATATTTAAAGACTTCTGATTGCCTTCCCTTGCTTTTTAGAATAAAATTGAGACTTCTTCTGATTTCCCCAGAGTCTGAGGATCTGGCCTTGCCTGCCTCTCTCATCTCAGCTCATCCTCATTTGTCTCAGGGCTCTCCAGGGACACAGATTCGACTGTTTCTCACTCTGGGGAGTTAGTATTGGCAGCCGCCTTTGTCTGAAATATTCTTGCTTTAGCTTTTCAAATAGTTTGTTCCTTCTCTTCCTTTAGGTCTTAGCTCAGTTGTTAACCTCCATAGAGTGGCCTTTCATACCTAATTCAGGTTTGTCCATCAGTTTCCATTGTTTATTTGTTTTGTTGTGGGCTGTCTCCACCATTAGAATGTAAGCTCCCTGTGACTTTTGAGTGATGTGTCTCTTTTCCACTGCTCAATCTCCAGGGACCATCCCGGACATAGTAAACATTCAATGCATATTTGCTATTGAAAGAATTCAAGGGTTATTATCCTTGCATTTCAGTAATTGTTAGTGTTATATATGGGAAAGTAGACCTGGATCAGCCAATAAATACAGGACCTGCCCCATCTTTAAACAGACAATTATTAGAGGGTCACACATGTTAAGGATTGACATGGACCTTAGCAATCGAACCTCTCCTACAAATTAGGTATTTATTTTTTCATATAACAGTTTTAATTGAGTGTCTGTTATGTGCCAGGCACTGCCCCCTAGTCATGAGGTGTACAGTGGTAAACAAAATAGATATGGGAATCTGTGCTCATGGAGCTTGCAGTCTGGAGAGGGATATAGGCTTCCAGTGAGTCATTAAGTCAACACAGAAACAGCAAGTGCCACACAGGGAGAAGTTACTGAGCACTTACCTGTGCCAGGCATTGTACGAGGTGCTGGGGATACAGCAGTGAACCAGACAAAAATCCTCGCCCTCTTGGTGCTTCTATTCTAGAGGAGGAAATAGATGATAAACATGTTAAACAAGTCTATTTTATGGTGACCTAGAAAGTGATGCATGGCTGAGGAGGAAAATGAAAGAGCGGAAGGGTTTCGGGAGGGGAGACAGGAGGTTGTCATTTTCAATAAGGTGGTAGGAATAGAGGCTTGAGCGGAGGCTTCAAAAGAACACAGCAGGGACATTTCAAATGAATGGTGAAGGCAGTGACATTAAGCTGAGATTAGAAGCATGGCTGGCAGTTGACCAGGCAAGGAGAGAGGATAAATAGAGAGAACCAAGCATGTGGGAAGATCTTGGCAGGAGAGAGTCAGGGACTTTGGAGGGATGGACAGAAGCTCATTGAGCATAGCTTGCTGAGTGTAGGTGCAGTGGCATGAGGTGAGATCAGAGGAGTAGATAGGGCTCTGGAAGGTTTGAGAGGCCATTTATAGAGTTTGTGTTTATTCCGAATGCAATGAGAAGCCATTGGATAGTTTTGGGCAAGGTATTTACCTCATGTGATTTTGTTTTAAAATATTATTTTGGTGGTCTTGTTCAAATGGAGCAAGAATGACAAGGTGAAGTCCAGTTAGGAATACAGGAGGTAGGATTTGCTTTTCTAAAATATTTGACAGATGGTTATTTTTTTACAATCAACATTTGTTTCCTTTTGTAACTGTAAGACCTCTCATAGCATAAAAACTCATAGTCTTCAAAATGTAGATTTTGATCAGACCAACAATGTCATTAGATTTAGAGTCTGATAAAATTTTAAAAGGTATACTTTTGTTATAAACACATAAGTTTTAGGTATTTGGTGTATATAATTGTGCATTTCTATTTTAGAAAATCCTAAATATTCAGCAGCAGCTATAATCAATCAGCAATCCAAACTATACTAACATTCTTTTCTTAAATGATGTATATTATATAGTCTGTGCTATATTTTCCATGTTTAATCATTATATAAGCCATTCCCAACGATCAGTCTTAACTTGATCTTAGGGTTCAATGAAAAAAAAAAAAAAAAAAGAAAAGAAAGTTCTTTTATTATATAACCTTGATTGAATTAACAAAGCTGGAATTTTTCTTTTATGAGTAATAAACCTAGTCATCATTATGTCACCCATAAGGTTTGGAAGAATTATCTCTTTCATCTACATTATTTATGGGTTGGAGGGATTGAGCAAAAAAAGAAAAAGAGAGAATCATGGACATGCACAGCAGTGGGGTGATTGCGGATGGGTGGGGGTGGGTGAGTGGGTGGAGGTGAAAGGGCAGAGAAGGGATAAATGGTAATGAGAAATATAAAATAGAAATTTAAAAAGAATTCTAGCACGATGGTGATTTTTTTTTGGATTTCTTATATTCTATTATTGTAGCATTTCATGAAGCATCAAATGAAACAGAAAAAGGTAAAACAAACAAAACTCAAAAAGCTTCTACTTTTTTAAACTCCTATGGGCTGTATTTGCCACACTATTTGTTTGGCATTGTTATTTAGTACTTGTTTCATGTGTATATTTTTTAGCCGCTAATATTACTCAGACCAGGAAGGCAGGGGTACCCTAGGTCCCTACTTCCCTTGTCACTAAATCAATATCATTTCATTACCTTAACAAATTAATTGACATTTCTTGTTTAGGTTGTATTATTAATATCCCAACAGGTATATCAAAGTACTAGAACCATTTTCAGTCCTTGACTTTAGATTTCTGTTTGTATAAGTTATTTTGGGCTTCCGTACAAATACTATACATTATCTGTCTTAAAAAGCAGAACTGTATTTTCTCACAGTTCTGGAGGCTAGATTTCCCAGATCAAGGTTTAGAAGGGTCAGTTTCTGGTGAGAGTTCTCTTTCTGGCTTACAGATACCTACTTCGTCCTCATATAACCTTTCCTCTGAGGAAGTACAGAGAGAAGGAAGAGGTAGAAAGGGAGAGAAAGAGGAAGGCAGGGAGAGAGGGAAGGAAGAAGAGAAAGAGAACTAGAGTAAGCTCAAGTGCTCTCTAGTGTCTCTTCTTAGAAGAACATTAATCCATAACACCGTCCTTATCTGGAAATGTATGATGGGATTGGACAACTGTCAAGAGAAATTTGCATTTTTCCTAGAGGCATTTATAATGACAGAGAGTGAGAAGGAGTAATTGTTAACTCAGTGAATGAACAAAATAAGCAGTGATCTGCTACTCCTTGAAACTTTGATTAGAAACTATGTTGAGAATACTGTATGCTTTGTTTTTGTTTTGCTTGGTGGAATGAAGCATCACCCTAAATGGACTGATTAGGTATTTGAATTCTTAGACTGTTTATAAAAAAGAATAAAATAAAACCAAGAATTTTTTTTTTCTATTCAGCCATTAATTCATTGTTTCAACAAATATTTATTGTGTACCTACATATACTATGTTCACTATTCTTGGAGCTTGGCAATAAATAATAAAGTTGAAGTCCTTGGAAGGCTCAGTTAAATATATTTTAGTTAAGAGTATGAATACACTAAGCCTCAGTTTTATAAACTGTATATTTGGGATATTAATATTACCCATCTTAGGGTTGTTATGAAAATGCAATGGAACAAAAAAAAAGCCTATTAGCAAAAGATTCAAAATAGCTAACATAATATTGAAAACAAAGTTGGAGGACTGACAATTGCTGACTTTAATCAAGACTTACTATAAAACTGCCGAAACCGGTTTGGCTCAGTGGATGGAGCATCGGACTGGGGACTGAAAGGTCCCGGGTTCGATTCCAGTCGAGGGCATGTACTTTGGTTGTGGGCACATCCCCAGTGGGGGGTGTGCAGGAGGCAGCTAATCGATGTTTCTCTCTCATTGATGTTTCTAACTCTCTATCCCTCTCAATTCCTCTCTGTGTAAAATCAATAATAATAATAATAATAATAATAATAATAAAAGACTTACTATAAAACTACATTAATTGAGTGTGGTGTTGCTAAAAATGAACAAGTAAAAGGAACAGAGCAGAGAGCCCAGAGATAGGCACACATAAATATAGTCAACCAAACTTTGAGAAAGGAGCAAAGGCAATGCAATGGCGTAGAGATACTCACTTCAACAAATGGTACTAGAACAACTGGATATCCACCTGTAAAAAAAAAAAAAAAAAGTGAATCTAGACAGAGTCCTTATACTATTCCCAGAAATTAATTCAAAGTGGCATGATCCATGAAAGAAAGAATTCATAAGCTAGACTTCATTACAATTAAAAATTTATGCTTTGTAAAAGTCCCTGTCGAAAGATAAGAACCAAGCCTCAGATTGGGAGAAAAAATTTGTAAAAGATAAAGGACTATTATCAAACTATATTAGTACAAAGAACTTTTAATACTCAATAGTAAGAAAAAAACAACCTGATTAAAAGAGTGGGACAAAGACCTTAGCAGACCAGAGAAGATATACAAATGGCAAATAAACCTAAAAAAAAGATTCTTCACATTATATATCATCTGGGAGATGCAAATTAAAATAATAATACAGCACTATGCGTTTATTAGAATGGCTACAATCTGGAATACTGACAACAACACACACTGTTGAGGATATGGAGAAAAAGGATCTCTCAAAAAAAAAATTTTTTTTTTTTTTTTTTTTTTTACAAAATTAAATATATTCTGGTAAATTGTTCTCTTTGGTATTTGCTAGAAGGAGTTGAAAACTTATGTTTATATATAAGTCTGTACATGAATGTTTATAGCAGCTTTATTCAAATGGACAAACTTGAGAGCAAATAAGACGTCGGTCAGTAAGTGAAAGGATAAATACACTGTGATACATCCAGGCAATGGAATATTATTCAGTGCTAAAAGGAAATGTGCTATCAAGCCATGAAAAAACATGGGGGAATCTTAAATGCACATTATTTAGTGGAAGAAGCCAGTCTGAAAAGCCTATAAATTGTATGATTTCAACTGTATGACAATATGAAAAAGGCAAAACTATGGAGAGTATAAAAAGATGAGTGGTTATCTGGGGTTGAGGGTAGGGAGGAATGAATATTCAGAGCACAGAGGATTTTTAGGGCAATGAATAGTAATATCATACGTTTGTCAAAACGCAAAGAATATATAACACCAACAGTAAACCCGAATGTAAGCTCTGGACACTGGGCGATAATGATGTGTCAATGTAGGTTCATCAATTGTAACTATTGTACCACTCTGGTGGGGGTTGTGGATAATGGGGGAGGCTGTGCATGTGTGGGGGCAGGAGGTATATAGAGAATCACTATACCTTTTCTCAATTTTTCTGTGAACCTAAAAATATCTATTTTATAAAAATGCATATAAGGAGCTCCCATTAGTGCTTTACATAAAAGCAATAATTTTAGCTATAGTTACAATCTATCTATATATAAATGCTTAATATGCAAAGTATCCTCTCAGGAGTTTTGACTAACTGGGAGTTCAGTCACTATGATGTGCACTGACCACCAGGGGGCAGATAAAATGAAGGAAGGCCCTGGCTGGCAGTTGGCAGCTGCTAGGGACCTTACCCAGGCATGAATTTTGTGCACTGGGCCTCTAGCTTATTAGTAATTAGACATTAACAAAAAGGCACATTGGAAAGACTTAGCACCCGGTAGGTTTTTAAGGATTGCTTGCTAATTAATTGAACTTTCCTACCGTAATGATATAATTTTATTTTATGATTCTTACAGTGCCATCTCTTTGTTTAATATCTGGACCAAATATGCACCCCGGCTACCCGCTGACTATTACAATGAAAAGCTTCTGAAGGTTGGAGATAGCCTCTGCGAAATGAAAGTAAGTGCCTCCGGAGTAAAAAGAGCCCACATGACACTCATTTGGCTAATTACATCATATTTGGTTGATACCATACCTATTTTACATGATTTGATTATTGTTGGTATTTAGAAAAGAATAAATGATTTCACAAAATTTTAATGAGGCATAGTAACCAAAAAAGTGTTTTGTTTTTTTGTTTTTTAAATTTTGTATCGATAGTTGAGATTTTTCAGAGGTGAGACATTTGTGAACAGAAAGACAGCTGCCTGGGGATGGCTAGGAGCATAGGCCCTAGCTCACAGAGGGTGTGGTAGGCGCCCAACAGGAAATGCTGAGTCATCATGTTCTTTTGGTATACAAAGGAGCCCAGACACCACTTCCTGTTATTTTTCAAAGGGTTGGCCTTACCCAGCAGACAATTCTCATGGCTTTTGGTCTTGCTGCTGTGTTGCCTGTGTCCCAGTGGCTGTTTTAATGAATTTCAATTCCTTGTTAATGTTCTGCGGAATGTAAATATACCAGTCATTCCATACATGCCCTCTTTCTTGCTCAGCATGGTATTCCAAATGGAGTTTGCCCCTATTTCTAGTTTCACATCAGTGCCCTGGTCTTAGATTGTTGTGGATTCATGGACTTGCTAAGACTACACACATACCATTACTTTTCAGTGAATGATAATGTAAGTTTTCCCTTCCGTTCTGGCATAGGCCCCAAGTAAAATATGAATTTTTGGCTCATCTAGGACCTTTGGACCAAGATTTATTTTACCCAAAGTGACTGTTGGCCAGACATTGGCCGAATATAGTGTTTTTCTCAATCTTTAATTTCTCAGCGTCATTTTCTTCCTACATTTCTATTTTCTGGACTTGAATCCTTTGGTTTAGGAGGGAAGTTTATCAAATAGAGGATAACATGAGAAAGAGCTTTCATAATGAAGAACTAAGATCTATTTTCTGCTGTCCAAATGAGAGAATCACCTTAGCTCCATGCAACTGGACCATGGTTCTTAGAAACTTGAACATACAGTTTGGAAAACTATAGGAAAAATAAAATGATGAGTTCCCACTTGTAAGCTGTATTTATGTGAAGTGGAATAACAGTTTTGACAAGAGTGTTCCCCCTCCATTTTTTATGCTTCTCCTCAATAGAAGGAGCTGGTGATATACAGCACAGTTTGGGGGTTGTTTGAGGAATATCCAGGTGGGTGAAGAGTATATTGGTGGAGGGAGGAGGAAGGAGCATGTGAGAAGTTGATAAAACAAGTGGATGATGAGTAGTGACTAAGGATCAGAATATTTCAGAGAGGTGTATATATAGATATTTTTAAAATTTGGTTGAAGGAAACAAATGAAATGTTTTAAATACGTTTCACTGATGGGAAAGTGGACTGATAAAGAAGATATTTGTAATCCTGAAAATGAACTTGACTTGTTACTTTGGTTTTAGAATTTCTTTATTATAGTTGCAGTAAAGATCATTTTGTTAGAATACTCTTGTTTGGAACATAAGATTCGAATTCATTATAGGAATCAAGTTAGAACAGAAAAGAACCAGAATTAATTAGTGACCAGTAACAAACAAGTCAATAGAAATAGAAACAAAACAGCATTTGATTGTGGATGCCTCCCTAGGGGCTAGGTAATTTGAAAGGCAATTGTTTGTCCTGGACACACAGTTACAGGGGAGGAAGCTGAGTAAGGGTTGCAACAGACGCATACTTCAGAGTCCTACTCACACCCATTTCTCTGAAACTCTCCAGATCAACTGTGCCTTGCGGGCTACAGAAATGAGGCATATGACTTTATAATGGGAATATAAGCACGATTTAGAACTAACAGAATCCTAACTAACAATAGCTCAGACTTTTTTGGCTTGACCTGATGCAGTTTCCGAGACCGTTGAAAGATCAAAGCGAGATTTAGCCAGCTCATGTGTGTTTTTCTCTTCCTCCCTTTCCCCTCCCTTTGCTTTCTCCTGACCTTCCTCTCCCCTTCTCCCTCCCCTCCTACCTTCTCTTTATTTCCCCTCCCTCCCTCCCTCCCTCCCTCCCTCCCTCCCTCCCTCCCTCCCTCCCTCCCTCCCTCCCTCCCTCCCTCCCTCCCTCCCTCCCTCCCTCCCTCCTTCCCTCCTTTCTCTGTCTCTCTTGCCATTCTCTTCCTCATTCCCTTTTTTTCTTCCTCATTCTCTCTTTTTCTCCCTCTTCCCCTCCCCATCTTTGTATTTCCTTCTTTGTTTAGAGCTTGGGAAGTATCAGAGAAGCAAGACTAGTAACAAAACTCATCTCCCTCTCTGACTGAGGAGGTGGATTACCATCAAGATGATATTGAATTTGGGGATATTCTCATCTTTAAGGTTATAATAGTCTTATCTCACAATAGGAGAATTAAATGAAATAATACACATGAATAAGAGAATTAAACGAAATAATACACAATATCTATCACATAATGTGTGTTTGGAAATGATAATGGTAGTAATAGTGTAATGGTGGTAGTAATAGTGGTAATAATCAAGATTGCTATTATTTATATATTTATAATAATATGAGTAGTACCTAGTATTAATTTAATAATTAATGTAATTTTAATATTTGTAAGACATTTAATAAGAAAAATGGTATTTTGAAATTTTCATCAAGTGTTCTTTTTATTTTAGGAGTATAAATTGGCCCTTTTACAGTGCTATGGAAGATACCTTCAGCAGTTCAGTATCAGCTTTGATGAGAGCATAGCAGATATACAACAATTCAAAACTGTCTTTTTTCCAAACGGCGTTGAAGACCAAACTGCTGCAAATACAGTAAGATGAAAGCAGCTAAAATAGCTACAAGTTATGATTAACTATGCAATATATCCTCTTGTTGACAGCTTCTAAATGTCTTTCCTGTGTTTAGCATAGCATTTACTTGTGTACTACAAGTTGCTTAATAAATGTTTTCAGTGCTAGATAGGAAGGGACACTTATTAGACTTTGCGAAGATGCTTTGGAGATTGCATCACTCTAATCACTCATTCATCCAGCAGACAGTTGTCATTACAATAACGAATATTTGCAGGGTACTTTCATTTTAAAAACTTAAAACATCTGATCCTCACATTAACTGTGTGAGTTACATACTATTATTATTTTTATTTTGTAAAAGAGAAAAATAAAGCTAAGCACAGAGCCTAACTATTGGCTGTGAAGATGAAACACAGATCTTCTGATATAATATTTTATGCTTTATTTCTGGTATACCATTGTTATGTTAATTGTTACCATTGATTCACTGGTTGAAGAGTTACCATGTGCTAGGCTCTCCTACATGCAGTATATGAATTGTCATCTTTTAGCTTCATTATAGTCTCAAAAGGAGGGTACTATTATGCCTTTCTTACAGATGAGGAAACTGAGGCTTCTTAGAGACTAAGAAACCAGTACACTTAAAGCAATGGACAGGGTTGGTTTTTGAACCCTAATGAGTTATTAAGCTGTTATTCCAAACTTGATCTTTCAAAGCCTTGGAAACATGTGGCTTAATAAGCAGAAAATCTCAAAGTATGTTTGGCTGTATCATAGGTGCATGAATGGAAATACAGGGCAATATAAGTTGGCACCCCATTGGGGAGAGTACTGAATGAAAAGCTTAGGACTTTAGATTTTTAAGGCCCCTCCTAGCCCACTCTGGTCCATCGCGCTCGCGCTCTCTCTCTCTCTCTCTCTCTCTCTCTCTCTCTCTCTCTCTCTCTCTCTCTCACACTCACACACACACTCACACACACTATTATCCTGCTTTCACCTTGTATCCCCAGCTTAGCGCCAGTGCATTGGTGAGCTCCATTGTCTACAAAGCTTTTATCTTAGTTATCTGTGTGGCTCGTCTTTTACTTCCTTCAGGTCTCATGCACTCCCTGCTTTATTATTTTGGTATTAGTTATTGTCACCAGCTACATTTTCATTTGTTTACTTTTTAATAACAATATTACAAATATAATAGATCCTCAATAAAGCTTTATTGACTGGATGAATAGATGAAGTGATACAGTCAGAATTAGTAGGAGCCGTACATAGAATAGTTTAGAAGGCAAAAGACTGGAGGCAGAAGGTAAAGCAATGAAGACAGTATAAGAGCTTGCCATCAGGACTGTTGTGATGGGTGCAAAAAGGTATGAAGAATTTGTTTTTTGTTTTTTTAATATATTTTTATTTCAGAGAGGGAGAGAGAAACATTGGTGATGAGAGAGAATCATTGATCGGCTGCCTCCTGCATGCCCCACACTGGGAATTGAGCCCACAACCCGGGCATATGACCTAGCTAGGAATCGAACTGTGACCTCCTGTTTCATAGGTCCATGCTCAACCACTGAGCCATGCTGGCCACACAGTAATTTTGTGTTTTATTTTGCATGCTTAATTCGAGGTACTGGCATGATGCTGGCATGCTGCATTTTTCAACAAATATGTATAAAAAATAAAATAAGTAAGATTGAAAATTTAGTCCAGTAGGAACCTATCAACACAGAACTAGAGGTCTCGAGAAGCTTTGTTAGAGAAATAGATCTTGCATTTATATGCATAAAGATCATAGATGAAGCAGTAATAATGAACAATTCACTGTCAAACCATTAACAGCAAAGTTTTGTGTGAACATTCATAATCATGTATGTAATATTTAATTATCCTCTTTGTATGTACTATAAGGAGGCATTATGGCAGAGATGATATGGATTTGATCTCTGGAGCCACACTGCCTGAGTTCAAATTGCTGCTGTGCCACTGTCTAATAATGGGACCTTGCGATTTCTTTGTGCTGCAGTTTCCTCATCTGTAAAAATAATAATAAGACCTGCCTCCTAGTGTTGTTTTGAGGTTGCTGAGATAACAAAAGACTTAGACTAGGGCCCAACACTCAAAAACTGTTAGGTATCATTATCTGTTTGTAAAAGAGAGAGAGAGACAGAGAGCACTTAGAAGATAATTATTCCAACTTGAGATACATTCAATAAATATCTTCTGTGATACCAACTACATGGTGGCTAGAAATAGTGTACATGTATCCAAGTAGGAAATATATATGGTAGATAAGGCCCATTTGTATTACTAAGAGTGTCCACCCCCTAGTTTTAACAGGGCTTGTTAGTACTCTCTTCAGAACTTCACATCTATCCAATTATGTCTTAGACATCTCAACTTGACATATTCCAAGCTTAAAAACTAAAATGAAAACAATTGTGCTTAATTAATTTAATAGATTAGTATAATGCTATGGACTAAATGGAAATTCAGTCTATAGCACTATAGACTGAGTTTCCCATCATCTTTCCTCTATAATTGCCTCCAGCCAGGCACCCATGCAGGAAATCATTGCAGATGTCTTCTCCTCCCTTATTTCCTGCACATTATTGGCCACTGAATCCCATTGACTCAGACAAGACTTAAATCTTTCCCCATTTCAGGGCCCTGGTATGTCTGCACTATCTCAGACCCCTCTGATCTCTCCCAGCCTCCCTGTGTGTAGCTTTGTGCCCTCCCCTCTGCTTTCCATCTTCCACACTTTTATCATAATTAATTTCTAAAGTGTAAATCAAATTGTTTTACCCCTCTGCCCTTTGACTTAGCCTTTTGGCTAAAGTTTATATTCCTTGGAATGGCTTGGAACACTCTTCATGTTCTGACCATGAACCACTTCTATAACCTAATCTCTTTATCTTAAGCCTTCTTATGTAATCTTTCAAAAGTCTTTCAATCCAGTGACCACTGAAACTACTTTAAGCATTCCTAACATTGCTTGTCCCCGGAATCCTCTTCTTTTTGCCAAGACCAGGGGCCACGTCTTCCTCAACTTTGAGTCACTATTGCTCAGCAGAGTGTGGCCAATTAAGGTGGTCAATAAACATTTGCCGAATCAATGTGCAAATGGTAATATTTATACCCGAATTAATATGTTAAAATGCTATTTGGTGAGTTTCCAAAAAGTGACTCAATTCCATATTCTTGGAAATAGGATTTTGTACTTTCTTCTGCTTTTGAAATTTTTTGATTAAGGAAAAGTAATAATCTTAATTAAATGGATGCTTTGAAATTTTTTGATTAAGGAAAAGTAATAATCTTAATTAAATGGATGCTATCTCTGTATGTCTTACTTTGTTAGGGATATTATAAAAAGTTCGTAGACTGGTGGCTTACACAACAACTTTTTTCTAACTTTATGGAGGCAAGGATGGCTCAGCTCAGGGTGCTAGAAAACCTGGTTGTCTGGTGAGAGCCTGCTTTCTGCTTCTTGGAGTGTCCTTAGATGGCAGAAGGCACAGGGTCTTCTCTGGGGTCTCTCTTAGAAAGGCACTAATCCCATTTACGAGGGCTTTACTCTCATGACCCTCTATCACCATCACATTGGGGATATATTTCAACATAAGAATTTTTTTGGGAGGGTGGGGGAATCCATTCAGTCTATAGCACTATACTAATCTATTAAATTAATTGAGCACAATTGTTTTCATTTTAGTTTTTTTTTTTTAATATTTTAAGGAAAGTTTTTCTAAGTTGCATCAACTTTATATTCATATTTATATTTTCCCATGTGTTTCAGTTTCATGCTTTAAATGGAAAAAATATTTGCAGCTACCAGCTGGTCTGTGACAATGACTTCAACCTGCAGAACAAAGAGTCAGTGATCCAGTGTCTGCATATCTTGTCCTCCTTAAGACTCATCATGCAGGTGGCCTTGCCACAGGAGCACCTCTGCTGGATCATCTTCAACGGTATATGCCAATGTATTTTATTTTCCATCGTGTTTTTCAGAAAGTTATGTGGATGCCAAGTTTGATGTTAACTTGATTACTTCTTGATTTAAAATATAATTACTTCATAGTAGCACGCTTGTTTTTTATTTTTTACACCATTATTACATTTTAGTTTGTCCTCCTATGCAGGAACTTACAAAGCATGTCTTTAGGTTTTCTCTTCAAGGAAGGGTTAGAGTTTGTGGGGATGATCAGTTTTAGGTATATAGAAAGCAGGGCCCAGAGTTAGTTAATAAATATAAGTGGAGAAGAATAAAAAAAACCACTGCAGGTTAGATTGGTTCTAAGCATCATCCATTTATTGGTCTTCTCAAATACTTGGGGCAGTGATTGTGGCTTCCTACATATCAACCTTCTTCTCCAACTTGGTTTTGAGTAACAAGCATTTGTGTGTATATATGTGAGTATAGTATATTTATATACATATCTACTATATATTTATGTACATATGTATTCATTTATATTTATATTCATATATCCATTATATATCTGTCTCATGAAATATCATCTATCAAAATGTAGCATTGTCCTGGCTGGGGTGGCTCAGTTGGTTGAGAATTGTTCTATATAATGAGAGGTCAAAGGTTCAGTTCTCCATTAGGGCACTTGCATGGGCTGTGGGAGGAGGCATGCAGGAGGCAGCCAATTGATGGTTCTATCTCATTTATGTTTCTCCTTTCTCTGGAATCCATATATATATATATTACACACACACATACACACACACACACACACACACACACACACACACACACACGCTTAATATGCAAATTGTCCCCTCTAGAGTTAGATCAGGAGACCAGGAGTTCAATTGCTCACTATGACATGTGCTGACCACCATGGGGCAGCACGGAACGAAGAAAGGTCCAGCAGGCAGCCAGCTAGCCAGCAGCTGAGGAAGGAAGGCCCTGGCTGGCAGCCAGAAGGCACCAATCGGCCCTGATTGCTGGCCAAACCTAAGGATCCTACCTGTGCATGAATTTTGTGCACTGAACCTCTAGTATATATATTAAAGTAGCAACTATTTTTCCTCTTTAAAGAGTTATAATTTAAATTTAATTTCTCTTTAAAGTTACAATTGAAAGTTGTAATGAGTCATTTGCTGTTGTTCTCTGGATAATATATTCTCAAAGGAAAAATAATACAGTATGTTCTCTGTGCATAAGAGTAGGACAAACTAACTTGAAAGAAAATATATTGAATTTTAGCTCATTTATGGTAATTGAAATATATACATTTCCTAGCCTTTTCCTTCTTCACCCTCCCCAAATAATTTTTGACAATTTGATTGAAAATTACATTTGCTGCCAGAAATGGGGCCGACTTTGGAAGAAAATTTTAAATTCAGTAATTGTTAAGCTTTTGTACTTGATCAATCTTAAGAGGATCTGTTCCCCATAGTAGCTGCTGCCATCTCTCCACCTGAGATGGTCATAGGTCTTGGTAGGGACTGAACAGGAACAGAGGTTCTGTGTTCAAGAAGTATGACAAGCCATTGGTTTGAGTCTAACAGTCAGGCCTTGCTTTAGTGGTGAAATGATATAGTCCCTGGGTGCTGTCCTTTTAAGGGCACACACAGATATATACCAGTATTCTTAGGGGAAAAAGAGGAAATGATTTCGTATCTTCTACCTCCTTTTATTGGTGTGTGCTTTTCCTTTCCTTTTATATAATATATATACACACATATATATATATTATTGATTTTTTACAGAGAGGAAGAGAGAGGGACAGAGTCAGAAATATCGATGAGAGAGAAACATCAATCAGCTGCCTCCTGCACTTCCCCCACTGGGGATGTGCCGGCAACCAAGGTACATGCCCTTGACCAGAATCTAACCTGGGACCTTTCAGTCCACAAGCCGACGCTCTATCCACTGAGCCAAACCAGTTTCGGCCCTTTCCATTTATTTATTTATTTATTTATTTATTTATTTATTTATTTATTTATTTATTTATTTAATGTTTCTATTCATTTCAGAGAGGAAGAGAGAGGGAGAGAGGGAAATAAATATCAATGATGACAGAGAGTCACTAATCAGCTACCTCCTGCATGTCCCCTACTGGAAATCAAACCTGCAATCTGGGTATGTGCCCTGACTGGGAATTGAACTGTGGTCTCCTGGTTCATAGGTCTATGCTCAACCACTGAGCCACACCAGTGGGCTGTGTGTGTTTTTCTGTATACAGGTGGTATCATGCTCTAGACTTTATTCTTTTTAAAAAAATATTTTTCTGCTCAATACCGTGGTTTTAGACTAACCAGGTTCCTGTGTATAGATCTAGTTCATTAACTCTACTTACGGACTTGTATTCTTCATATCCATAGACTCCTAAGTACTGAACCTGCTTTGCTGTACCTCTACAGCTACACACATAATTCTGCAATGAATATCCTTATACCTGTCCTTTTATAGACCTGTGTGAGAGTTATCTGGGATCTATGCCCAGGAGTGGGATTGCTGGGTTGAGGGAAATACACATAGCTTTTTACTAACTCCAGTCCCTGTTTTAATTAATTCGTCCAAAACTTACTGCCAGGCATTGTTCTAGGTACTAGGGGCACAAGAATGAGCAACAGATGAAAACCCTGTTCTCATGGTTACATTCTGCTTCAGGGAGATGAAAAACAAACAAAACAAAGTGGTCATGGCATACTGTGCTATGGAGAAAAATAAAGCTGAGGAAGAGATAGGGAGAGCCAGGCCTGGGCTAGGACTAGGCTGCAATTTTAACTTTTAAAAAATTGATTTCAGAGAGAGGAAAGGAGAAGGGGAGAGAGAAACATCAATTGACTGCCTCCTGCAGGCCCCCTACTGGGTATTGAGCCCACAACCAAGGTATGTGCCCTGATTGAAAATTGAACCTTGACCTCCTGGTTCAGGGGTTGATGGCTCAACCATTGAGCCACACTGGCTGGGTTAGGCTGCAATTTTAAATGGAATGGTCAGGGAAGGCCTCAGTGAGATGCTATTTGAGCAAATACCTGAAATGAAACATCTGCATATTTGGGGAAAAGGCATTCTAACTAGAGGATTAGCAAATGCAAACATCCTGTAGTTTTAATACTTTGGATTTTAAGTAATCAAAAATAAATTGATGAATCAATTTGTCAAAATACATTTAATTTTCCCAGTTAAAACTGAGCACTCATTCTCTTTATTTTAAACTGGTTATTATATGTATAGACACGCTTGGTTTCTTAAGATATGTAACCAATGTTGTTTCTTTCATAAAATTTAACTGGGTTTATGAATATTCTATAACACCTTACTTCTCAACCTGAACTAATTTAAGCCTCAAATAGATTATTTTGGTGATGGCCATCTTTGATGAAAAGAAATCACATGACAAGACAAAAAATCCATATTAGGGATTTGGTCAAAACCAAAACAAAACAAATTTCCAGAGATATCCTGAGGGTGTAAAGATTCAGTCTGGGTTCCATTCAGCTCTCTCTCCCTCACGCTTCTGCAGTGGGGATTTGTGAACATCTCCAAGATCCTGAACCATCAAAGAAGGGATCAGTTCTAGTCAGGATGCACAAGGGCTGCCAAGGTTAAAGGCACATTTTTGAAAAACAGGGGGCCCTTGTCATTCTTGAGGGCAGTCTCCTGAGGCCTCCTGAAATTCCCCAGTTCCTGTCACTAACATGTTTATACAGGCTCCTAGCTTACACCTGAATCACTTGTTTTGTGGAGAGGCATGCATTTCCTGTGCATGTCCTTCCTTGGTGACTTTTTTTTTTTTAAACAAAGAAACACAGTTATATAGTTTAGCTTTTAAGATTAAAGACAGAGGTGGACAAAACCAAGTTGAGATAAAAATGCTGGGTTTGCCCGGCTGGCATTGCTCAGTGGTGGAGCACCTGACTCAGGAACCAAGAGGTGGTGGGTTCGATTCCCAGTCAGAGCATATGTCTGGGTTGCAAGCTTAATCCCCAGTGAGGATATGTGCAGGAGGCAGCCAATTGATGATATTTCTCTCTCATCAATGTTTCTATCTCTCCTTCTCCCTTCCTTTCTCTCTGAAAATCAATAAAAACATATTAAAAAAAAAAAGAAAATTGGACTTGAGCTGTTTCTAGCCAAATGGTTTCTTCCCTGGTGGACCTCACATGAAATAAATAGCCTCGTGTTCTGGGAGCAGTCACAGTAAGAATGCTGAGTCCTTGAATGTTAAGGACCCAAGTGTATGGTGCTATATATAATATGTTTAAGATTTTATTCAATATTTTTGTCACTGATATATGTGATTAATATTTATCATGCTTACAGGCATGTTTTAATCAAGTGATATGTGTCTTGGAGCAGATGCTGTCTTCTCAGAAGCTTAAAGTTTAAATGTGAAAAATGGGATTCATAATTGTAGAATTTTGATGGTTATGAATTTTAGATCCAGTATTTTATAGGAAATATTTAGACTACTTGTATTATAATTACATGCCTTTTTAAAGCATGTTGCCACCTTTGGTTATGTTTATAGCATGCTAATGTCCTTTATATATAGTGAGATATATACTTTCTCCCTCCTATCAACCCTGTGATCAGCCATCCATCCTTATTTAATTAATGATCTGATAAAAAAAATACATACTTGAATGATGTTAAATAGGAGTTGAAAATGGTCTTTTTTATTAGAGTGCTCAAAGGCCATTCTATATAATGAAGAGGTAATATGCAAATTGACCATCATTCCAACACACAAGATGGCTGCCCCAATGTGGTCAAAGATGGCCACCCCCATGTGGACACAAGTTGGCTGGCAGGGGAGGGCAGTTGTGGGCAATCAGGCCAGCAGGGAAGGGCAGTTGGGAGGGACCAGGCCTGTAAGAAATGGCAGTTGGGGATGATCAGGCCTGCAGGGGAGGACAGTTGAGGGCAACCAGCACTGTGGGGGAGGGCAGTTGGGGGCGACCAGGCCAATAGGGGAGAGCAGTTAGGGATGACCAGGCAGGCTGGAAAGGGAGGGTAGTTAAAAGTGACCGGGCTGACAGGGGAGGGCAGTTGGGGGTGACCAAGCCTGCAGGGGAGGACAATTAGGGTGACCAGACCAGCAGGCGAGGTCAATTAGGGGCATTTGGGCCATCAGGTTGAGCAATTAGGTGTTGATCAGGCTTGCAGGGGAGTGGTTAGTGGGTGATTAGGCTGGTAGGCAGAAAGGGTTAGGGGCAATCAGGCAGGCCAGCCTTTGGGAGCCAGCAGTCCTGAATTGTGATAGGGTTGTCCATTTAGGCCTGCTCATTTAGGCCTGATCCACACGGGCAGTAGGACATCCCTCTATGGGCCCCAGATTGGAGAGGGTGCAGGCTGGGCTGAGGGACACACATTTCCCCCAACCCCCATGCAGGAAATTCATGCACCAGGCCTCTAGTACCTTAATAATAAGATAAATATTATATGAGAGTGAAAATGAATATAATGCAACCTATTATGTGTTATGATTTTAAAATTATTATGAGTTTCCTTCCATGTTGAATATTATGCTATGCTGATTAAATATGTATTTTAATCTTACTTATAAATAAATCTTTTTGTTTTTCAACCATAAGGAAACCATGGGGACCAATAATGTTTTATATAAATTAATAAAACCACAGGGTACATAAATTATGCTACTAAGTATATTCTTTTGTTCAGTATATTTCAAAACTTAAACTGTTTTTGTAATGAGGCTAAAGATTCCTGTGTCAGCCTATTTAAAGTATGGTCATATTAGTTCTTTTAATGATTTTGTTACAAAACAAATTATAATGATTATAACTCTCTAACCATTATTCAACTTTCTCATGAGATTGCTTATTTTGAGAACTACAGACTTAAGCCATAGGCATTAGCATATAAAAATCTCATAATTTGACTGTAAACCATGTTAATGATTTTTTTCTCCTTTTAGGTACTATTTACATTTACACCATTTGCAGAAAACTGATGATTATTGGCCAGTCTTCCAAGGTATGCAATTTACTGACAAATATCTTCTCCTGTATTTCCTCTTTTTCCTTAAGACTTTTGTTAGCATTGAATGTTTAACAAAGAAAACTTAGTGAAGTATTTAGCAAAATCTAGTGAATATGTATTATAGATTTATCATTTTTAGTTTTACTTTAATATGATCATAGATAAAATTGCAGATAACAAAGTATTAAGGACAGAAAAGCATTCCTAAAATTGATAGATATTCTCTGCTATCCCTTGGTCTCTCAGATTAGCCAAACTTGTCAACTTGATACAGAATCTCCACCTGATAACTATATCTCTACGTAGGGTGATCATCCATTCTGGCTTGCTCAGGACAGTTCTGGTTTATATCTGTAGTCCTGGAGTAATTACTGATAGTGCTTGCTTTCACTCTCAAACGTGTCCCGATTTGAACGATAAACTACAGTTACCCTATTTATATTGTTCTGTGGAGCTTGGACTTCCTTTTGCTTGAAGAGGTTGGACTTGAATTATGGCCCACATGCTAATGAGTGAATGAGTGAAAGAATGAATGAATGCTAGTGTATTAGGGTGAAGGAACATCTTCATTCTGTTCCAGTCATGACCTGAGGGTAAAGAGCCTTCATTTTATAATAAGACTCGTAGCCCTGCGCACAAATCTGTGCACAAGTAGCTTGCTGCTGGTTTCTTCAGCTGGCCACCTGCCCACGGCCACTGGTAGCTCCACTGTTTATAGCTCGCTGCCCTGGCCTCTGGGAAATCTCTGCCCACTGCCCCGCCCTCCAGTAGCTCCCCTCCCTCATAGCTTGCTGCCATGCCCCCTCTTGTAGCTCTCCACCCCCTGCTTGTAGCTGACTGCCCCACCCTCCTGCTGACCTGGTCATTATGTGGTGGTCATTACGCCTCAGGGTGTAACGGATACTTTGCATATTTCTCTCTTATTATATAGGATTCCCACTCATCAGTCTTCACTGCTAGGTTTTAGCTTGAGGTTTCTATTGACTTCCCTACAATGTTGGTAACACTTTTGTCTCTAGGAGACTTATTTATTCCCTGTATTCATTGTTCAGTCAGTAGGATGCAGGCCAAGAAGGGAGAATATTCTTAACATTGAGTCCATATTCAAATGGCATCTGGGACATTTCTACTTTATTTTTTATCACATGCAAAAACTTTCTAGCACTCAGGAGATACGTTTTTTTTTTCTTTTCTTATTTTCTCCAAACATAGCTAAGCATCTTAAAAGTCAATAACACTTAAAATTAAAATGGAAGGAAGGATATTTGCATGCTTAATGGAAAACAATTTTGAAATCGCTCTGTTTTGTTCCTCGAGTTGAAAAGCTCTGTTGCTGACAGTGACTTGAACAAGACAGTGCCAGCTCTTTGAGTGTGAATTAAAATGAGGGGAGACTGTCTCATGAATAATGGAAATTTGGCTAGAGACTATTCCAGTGATTCTACATTTCTTTCCAGTTGATTTCCTGAAAAGAATTTGCGTGTTCCTGTTGCCTTTGCTGTAGCAACAAATACTGCTTCACAGAGCCACCCATAGTTTGGTCTGCTATAGCATTTGTCTGCCAGCTCTTTGAAGGGCAGAGATGTCTGTGCCAAAATCTAACTTGGAATTAATAGATTCTACTATATTCTTTTGTATTTGTACTTGTTAATGCCGAGAGAATTTTAATAGGATAGTTGTTTTAAAATAATTTCTTATTAAACCCTACCTAAGACATTTTTTTCTCCCCCTTATAGAACTTGAATTTCTCTCTGACAAAATAAGGGCTAACGGAGAATAGTTCTACGGTCCCAGTTTTGTGGGATGGGAGTGTGGGGGGTAGAGGTGGGATACAAGACTTTTGGAGTGGCGGATGTTTGCACAGTTGGCATTTGAAGGTTGGGATGAAATTAATTCAGTTTTTTTCAGTATAATAAGTTCCAAGGAAATTAATGATTTCCACCCAGAAATTTCTAAATCTTCAACTGGTGAGTTGATTCCTTGGAGGGGGAGGTGGGGCGTAGTAGGGAACCAGCCACATCTGTGCTTTCTTCTGTCTGAGGGACCCTGATTCTGTAGCTGTTTTAGAGTTCAACTCTATTATAGCTTGAGACAAAAGAAGAAATAGATATGATATCCTCGGGTTTTTGTTGGTGTAACCCCAGAGAAATATAAACCCCTATCACTGTAAGATCCAGGCATCATTGCTACCCTTTGTTATTATTGGATCCCTATTATGAGTTAGGTATATGTGTTAAAAGTTTTGTATACATAATAACACTCACTATAGTCTTATGAGGTCAGAACTATCACCATCTCCATCATCATTTGTTGAATGAATGCCTACCATTTATCAGGTAGGCTTCTAAGCATTTTTCATATATTATCCAAACATTTTCATATATTATCTCACTTTCTAATATTATCCTTATATCAAAAATTTGAGAAAGGTACTGTTTGTTATTGCTTTCCTCTTATAGATGAAGAAGCAAAGATTCAGAAAGATTAATTTGCTCAATGTCTTACATCTAGTTAAGTATAGCCAAGGCCAGAGTGAATGCCACACTGTATTGCCTCTCAACACCATTAGACTGTTGGCTCACTTACTCAAACAGAGAAGCAATATGGAAGGGGATGGTGATATCAGGAAGACCAAAACTGGATGGGGTTCTTCCCAGATGGAAAATACTTTTGTGTCGAGGAAAGTTACAAAGCTTAAACTTGTATTCAATCAAATGAAATCTATTTACCCTTTAGAGGTAGGGCAGATTTCTGAAATCTTTTTTTCCTAAAGATATATATTACAACTTTGCTTTCATTTATGGTATAATCTGTAATTTCTTCTAAGGCATTTAAAACTGTAGTATAATACTCAGCCAGCATTAAAGAATATAGTAGAATCTATTAATTCTAAGAAAATGTTGATTTATGTTTCATTTATAAAGTTTTTGGCTTGAACAATGATTGTCAAATTATTCCACATTCCATTACATAAACTTCAAATTCAACTTCGAAATGCTGTTATTTCCCTCAAAGGATGATATAAATGATGCCGCAGTGCCATCCTGTGGCTGAACTGATTAATGGTCTGTGTACTGCTCTTTCTGGGATTTGGTTTTCTTCTTTCTTCCTCCTCCTCCTCCTCTCCTTCCCCTTCTTCTCTTCCTCCTCCCTCTCCTTCCCCTCCTCTCCCCTCCTCCTCATCCCTCTCCTTCCCATCCTTTCCCCTCCTCCTCCTCCTCTTCCCTCTCCTTCCCCTTCCTCCTCCTCTTCCTCCTCCTCCTCCTTCTTTTTCCCCTTCCTCCTCCTCCCTCTCCTTTCCCTCCTCCCCCTCTTCCCTCTCCTTCCCCTCCTCCTCCTTCCCCTCCTCCTCCTTCCCTCCTCTCCTCCCTCTCCTTCCCCTCCTCTCTCCCCCCTCCTCCTCCTCCCTCTCCTTCCCATCCTCTCCCCTCCCTCCTTCTCCTCCCTCTCCTTCCCCTCCTCTTTCCTCCCTCCCTCCTCCTCTTCCTCCTTCTCTTCCTCTGTGTTTTAAAACTGATTTCAGAGAGGAAGGGAGAGGGAAAGGGAGATAGAAACATTGATTAGCTGCCTCCTGCACACCCGACACTGGGGATCAAACTCACAACCCAGGCATGTGCTCTGACTGGAATCCAACCATGACCTCCTGGTTCATAGATAATGCTCAACCACTGAGCCACGCCGGCTGGGCTTCTTCATTTTTATTTTTGACATCTTAAACTTTTTAATATAAAAACATTGCCAAAACAACAATATCTCTTCTACCAACAGTGTTTTGGCCCATAGGTCATTAACAGTCTCTTCTACCTTCAATATTTGATGAATTAAAAACAAATGGAATTTCATTGTTTCAATTTAGATTTACCTGGTTGTGATGTAAGCATTTAAAATAGTTTTAAATTTCCTTTTTAAATATTATTTCCTTTAATTTTTTGATAATATGTATTTAGGCTTTTAAAATAAGAACACTTTATTTCAAAATTTTAATTTGGCTTTTCAAAGTTTATTTTTCCTATGAAGAGAACAGTCCTACTTTAGTCTCATCAATTTTTAAAACTAATACAAGTGAATTAATTTCATATCCTCTTCTTTTTGCTTCCATTCCTCCTGTTTTTCCAGGTTCTCCTGTTTCTTTTCCTCCTCGTCTGTCTTCATTGTCATTACCAAAGCTAACATTTATATTTACTACTAGAGGCCCATTGCACGATGTTCGGCAAGAATAGGCCTTCCTTCCCCTGGCTTCACCCACAACCTCCTGGGAACTGCCATGGCCCCACACCTGGGCCACCCAGAGCTGGCAAGTCCTCACTTGTGTCGGGAGCACCACTCCAGTAGCTCCCTCCACAGCTCCCCTTCCTCTCATAGTAGGCTTCACTTGCTCCCCGCCTACACATGCAAATTAACCCCCAATTTTGTTGGGTTAATTTGCATACTCACTCTGATTGGCTGTGGGCGTAACAGAGTGATGGTTAATTTGCATGTTTCTCTTTTATTAAGTAAGATGTTCTAAGCATTTAGTGTATAGTAATTTATTAGATATTCAAACAGTCCAAATTACTGTTATATCAATACCAATATGGATGAGGAACATGAGGCACATGGAATGTAAGTGAATGGTCCAAAGTAACATTGAGCTGAGTTCACAGGACTTTAGGAGTTTCAAAGGAAGACATTCTAAGATGGTTAACTTGAGTTTTGCATTCTTTAAATTATTCCTTTATTTCTTAAAATGCTTGTGTTTTCTTGACTCATTATTTTTGGTCTGAGTATTCAGCAGCATTTTCAGAACTTATAATTTGATTAGATCAAATAAAAAATCACAATTATTGGCATAAAATGAAAATTTATTCAATTATAAAATTATATTCTTTTTTTTTTTTCCCTAAGACCTTAGAGTATCTCCTATGGGCCAGTGTGTGTATGGAGTCCTCAGTCCCACTCCTGTCTGTCAGGTATTTGACATGGAGAGTTACTCTTTACACTGCGGTCTGCCAGTGCTACTATGACTGCCAAGCTGCTGTCCATGGAGAGGTATGCTACTTTTTAATTTAGAGGATTTCAATATTTTAGAATACAACGTATGCAGCATTTTCTTCTTTAGAAGTCCTGCAAGAATGAAACAGACACAAACAAACAAACAAAACCCCCAAAACTGAAGTGAAGCAAAGCCAAAAGTCCCAGGCTAAATTTGCAGAAATTTGCTTGGCTTCTCCTTTCTGTTTTCTCTTTGCTCTTCTTTCTTCTCTCTCCTTTATTCTCTACTTACTTCCACCTTCTTTGCTGCTTTTCTGAATAAGATTTCTGCTATCTTTCCTTCCTCATTGTATTCTTGTATGCAATTTGCCTCCTTCCTTATTTAGTTTTTTTTTTTTTTACATTCAATATTATTTTGTATGAGGAAGGTACTGAAAATACCTGTATCACAATTTTACTTTCCTTATTTTTAAGATTTATTATTTCATAAAATGAGCACAGTTTATTAACTTTAGATCTACATAATTTAGTGGTGCTTATAAGAAATGATAGACTGGAAAGCTGCTGTGTTATAGAGAATGTAGCCTAGAGTTTAATTCACCAACTAAGTCCAATATATGGGAGAATGAAACATATATTTGATACATTTTAATCAAATGTCTTGATATTTTTTAAATCACTGCTCTCTTATTAATTGTGAATTAAATTTCTTTTAACTGCATATAGGCCTTTGCTCGGCGTGCTTTAGCTAAAATTGATGAATTAAGGCAACTGGAATTAATGAGCTCCTCACAACAACCAGAAGCATCTAGGAGATATTATAGGGAGGCCACGATAAAGGTATGAAAATTTCACGAAATAAAAGACATGTACTGCACTCTGTGATGGATGAGATACTTTATATGAGTAGTTGCACCCCACGGTTACTTCACATAGAATTCTTCTCTTTGAGGCAGATGGCAGTGATGATCTTCAAAAGAGCAGTATTTGAGTCCAGAAGAAGAAGCAAAAGTTTCTTTAGACCAAAGATAAGAACTAACCTGAAGGAAGTACAAACTGTAAGTGAGGTGTCTTTTCTTTTTCAGACTCTTTTGGTGGTGTATCTGTGTTATATACCTCCGCGTCTTAAGCCCTGCATGTCATTAGTATTCTCTGCAACCAATGGCAAATAAAGAGAACGCCTTCCCAGATTGGGCACGAGGTCACTTCATCCCTTTCCAAAGCTTTCGCCCCTTTGCACAGCCCCAGTTGTGTGACTTTAAAGGGCAAGGGGCTGAGGAAGATCCTGGGGAGAGGTTCAGACTCACAGGCCTCGGAGTGATTCCGCGGAAGCCCTTGTCTGGGAACGCTCCTGCCAGCTTAGAAGGCTTGGAGGTTGGAGGGAAGATGGAAGCGCCTCTTCTCCTCCGCTTCAGTTTCACCTTTGGGAGCAACAGACAAACCCCCCTGTCTTAGAGGCTTGTCACAAGCCTCTATTTCCCACTGCAAGCAAGTTGTAATTATCAGGGGCCACTCATGACTGCTGCTCAGGGCCAGACTGAGGAGCCATCCTCGTTTAGAAAATTGCTGGTTATTCCCTCGGAGAGAGCTTTGGGGGACCTCACACAGGCGGTAATGCCCAGCATGGAACTGACAGCAGTTTCTGCTTCTCACATATCAAACCCGGTCACACGGCCCCTTCCAGCCACAGGCGTTATGCTTGTGGGGTCCTCTGCCTTTTCTCCCTCCTGCCTTTTTCCTTCTCCCACCGTCTTCCCCTTTGTCTTTTGGCATTTCAGCATTCCTCAAGGCCAGTGCTGTATTTATTTGAAGCCTTCCCTGACTGTTCTAGTGGTCATGAATTCTCTCGAGCGAGTTTCTTTGTAGGGACTGGAAATGGCGGGAAGGGGGAAGGCGATGAGCAGTTTCTGGCAGAAGAGTGGTAGGATCTCAGGGTCCGGAAGGGATTCTAGAAAACCTGTGGTTCAATCTCTGACTATACAGATGGGGAAATAAATCCCAAAGTATGTAAATTACTGGCTCAAGGTCACGAGGCCGCTGCTGACAGCGCTGGGACCAGAACCCAGGTCTCTAATCCAGTACTCTCTCTCCTGCGCTGCAATGACTGCTGTTCTCTTAAGACATTTCTTCTTGTGACATGTAGGAGTAGTTCTCTCTTTTTAAAAATTTTGAATAAATTAATATTTAAAATCCAGATTTTATTTGGACATTGTAGCTGTCTAATGCTACTTGACCGTGATATACTGATGATTGAGCCCAGAAGTACATTTCATATTGCCTTTTAAAATAATATCCATTACCAGGTGTATTTGGAGCAGGGGGAGGGAGGGGGGGACAGGTGGTAGATAACTTATCAAATGATAGATGAGCTTAATGATAGATAACTTACCTGATGAGCTGCTGAACTGCCTGCATCTGGTATTGTTAAGTAGTAATGCTATGGGGTTTGTAAGAGAGCAGGGGACAATTCTTTTTTTCTCAATATAATTTTTTTTTCCCTCTGAGCAAACCAAATTTAAGTATTCAAAGCTGCAAGATTGTTAATAATTAGCATATTATTAGATCTCAATTTATAATCATCCTGGTATAAAAATAAAATATATTTTCAAAGAAAAATGTTTAAAATTCTAGATAACATTACATTTAAAATCGTTTATTCCTGGTTTCCTTCAAGATAATTATTATATGGAAAGTTCTGGTGGTATATCTTTTTAGGAAAAAAACATAATTGTTTAATGGGTACTTTTTACAGAGAATAGTCAACATAACCTTTTTTATAAAGTCATAGTATATTACCTTAACATAATTTGCATAATGTCCTGTTTTACATGTACAAAATAATGGTATTGTGTTTCCTATAAAAAGTAATTGCAATATGCATTACATTTATTTTATAAAACAGTTTTGAGTTTGTAAGTCAGTTAATAACTCACAGTAAATTATTTTGTCTTTCAGAGGATTCTTTTAAAGAACTACTAATTCAGACTCCTAATGATTGACTTTTTATTGATTCATTCAATAAATATGTTTTAAAGTAACTGCTGTGTAAATAAGATAGATAGAGGTTACATTCTAGTGGATAAGTTACACAATAAATAAAGTAATTGTAGTTTATCATAAGTATTATCGAGAAATAATGGTAGCGATTGAATGAGATACAGATAAAGCCCTTAGAATGTTCCTGGCACATAGTAGGTCTTCACTACATATTAGCTATTGCCTTTATTTACTTATTTATTTGCTTTAAACAAATTGATTTCTGAGAGAGGAAGGGCAAGGGAGAGAGGGATAAGAACATTGATAATGAGAGAGAATCATTGATCTGCTGCCTCCTGCATACTCCCTACTGAGGATCAAGCCTGCAATCTGGCATGTGCCCTGATTAGGAATTGAACTGTGACTTTCTTGATATATATTGCCAAATTAATTTCTAAACAGGAGTTCTCCAGGGTGAAAACCTGCATGTACCAATTTTGCCACAAGCTATTATCATTTTGATATTATCACTTTTTTTTAATAATTCAGTTTTATAAAATGGTTTTTAAAATTCTATTTTTCAGATTCACCTTTTCCTTATATTTGTGTTTACTCCTTGTTTTCTTCTTTTGGTGAATTATCTTTCAGTCTTTGAAAGATAATCTTATCTTTCTATTAGATATTTTAATTTTTAAAATATATTTGAATGAGCTTATTGTTTTTATAGATAATATTTTGCTTGTCATGCTTGACAGCCCATTTTTTATTACTTTGACTTTAAATCTTTTTTACAGATCTTTTTTTAAAGTATGTTTTTATTGACTTTTAAAGATAGAGGAAGAGAGAGGGACAGAGAGCTAGAAATATTGATGAAGGTGAACCAGCTGCCTCCTGCACATTCCTTACAGGGGATTGAGCCTGCAACCCAGGAATATGCCCTGACTGGGAATCAGTCCTGTGACACTAGGTTCATGGGTTGACCCTCAACCATTGAGTCATACCTGCTGGGGAGAACTTCTAAATATTTATATTTTAAAATCCTTTACTTGGTATTCATATATTGCTCTGATAAATATTCTATTCTTTTTGCTAATTTTCCTATAAAATTAAAAATACACACACAAATTCACTGTAATCTATTGGGGTTTTATTCCTGCTTTTGTTTTTTCTGTCTTTCTGACTTTTCCCCAAGAAGAGGAAAGTAACAAAGGAATCATGGGGGAAATGACAGTATGTTCTAACTTGACATGGATTCTAGGAAAACCAACCAGAGCTGCTATTCTTATTTCCTGGTAATCTAAATACAGAGAACAGGTAATTTGTCAGAGAGGATACAGCGTGGAGGCAAGCCATCTGCAAGAGGTGAAATCATCCTGGCTGATACAAAGCAGAGTGGCTCACACAGTCACTAGCTTAGTACACCGTTGGTTAACTCTTCTTTAGAGTTAATTAACATAAGACCAGCTATTTATGCTATGAAATATTGTTTCAAATTTGGGTTTGAGGACCCTACATCAGACTTTCCTGCAGTGCTTTGCCGGGGTGTTTCTCAGCATCTAGAAGGGTTCAGGAATCTGGAGAAGGGCTGCAAGTAAATTAATAAAGAGACTAGACATGAAATATAAATTTGGAATACATGGGGGAGCCAGAGGAAACCTAGCTTCAGTAACCAAGTTCTCTGAATCTCTGGACCCTCAGCTCTTTATTAACACAAATTTCCCTAAGGCAAAGCAGATATTCATATCAAAGGTTAAGGTTTGGTATACAGTAGGCATTGCCCTTGGCTGCTCAGCTGTTTGGCCAGCAGCAGTAATAACATGTAGATTGAAATGCACTCAGCTGTCTGGCAACAGGCAATAATATATGCATCTTTTTCAGGTTTGGGGAAATGCTCTCAGCTATTCCAGCAGGCAACAATATGATTCAGCCCTGCTGAATATGGAAGCCCTTCAACCTTTTGAGGACTTCTTGCATTTATTATGACATGCTGGAATTAGCTTCCAGCACTGCTTATTAAAATGTTCCACATAGGCCCCCTGAACCTCGAGATGTGGTCTGTGAATCTCAAAGCACTCCTGAGAGATACTTAGGCAACCGAAGTTTGAATATCAGTTCCTAAAGGCTGTAGTTAAGGTACCACAAAGCATATGGAGATTGACGTTGCCCTAATAAAAAGACAGTGATACGGAGCCATTTTAATGCTGCTTGGAAATGCAAACATATAAAGAAATAGCAAAGTCTTTGATGTAATGGCAACATGACATAAACCTTAATGGAGCCTGGAGTAACACCTCAAAAGAGGAAAATCATAAAAGCAGCCATCTCATTGACAGGCCAACCACTCTTCTTTTATCATTAATTAAGCATATTTTACTTATCCTTGCCTAATAATATCAGACATTATAGAATTTTTAAAAAAATGGGCTGTATTTTTTTTTTTTTTTTTACAGTTGCCTTGGCCACGCACTGTCACAGAACGGTTGTTGGATGAGATGTTTGATAGCACTGCATCCCGGTTTCTGGCTATCTTGGAAGCTCTTTCTGATTCAAATAGGCGGACACTGCAAACTGGACCTATTGTTACAGATGAAATAGAAATTCGTGATGTTGTCTCAGAACTGTTTATAGCAGGACGAGAACTTCTAATAAGTAAATAAGTTGTTAAGATAATATTTTATTGTAGCACAGGAGTAAGAGAAGTTTTTGGTGTGTTAGTTCACACATAAGTTCATACCCAATTTTTATTGATCTTGAATTCAGTAAACTTGTTAAACTCAATGGGTAGTTCAAATAACTTAGTAGGTTTTCTTTTCTTTTTTATTTTTATTTATTTTTTAAAATTTATTTATTTATTTATTTGATTTTTTTTGCCCTACTCTCTCCCTCCCATACATACCCTCCCTCCCCAGAGTTTTATGTCCATTGGTAGTACTTATATGCATGTATACAAGTCCTTTGGTTGATCTATTATCTCCCCCAGATCTCCCTCCCCTCCCCACTGTAATTTGACAGTCTGCTTGTTGCTTTACTGTCTCTATATCTATCTTTTGGTTCATCAGTTTATAATGTTCTTTATTATCCATAAATGAGTGAGGTCTGTTTTATATATGCAGTCATTCTGTGAATAATGTCAATTATATTTCTTTCTAATTGTTAAGGTTTGTAATTTATTTTTTCTTATATTCCTTGATTTATTATGCTGGATAGGAAAGTGGTAATAGCATTTGCCCTGGCTGGTGTGGCACAGTTTGGTTGGAGCAAATATATTAAGGTTTTCTCCCCATCTTCACTTTCCCTTTTTGACTGCTGCTTCCCCCCCCCCCCCCCGCCTCCCTCCCTTCCCCCAATGCCTTTGATGGTAATAGTTTGGGTGATGATATAATTTGCCATCCAAACTGTTTTTTAATATTTCATTTTTTAATTAAAAAACTTAAATGCTGACATTATTGCAGACTTTACCCATCCCCCCTTCCACCTTTGCCCACTTCCAACTACCCCTGCCTCCCCCTATTTAGTCCTTCACCACACTATTGTCTGTGTCTGTGAGATATGCATATATGTTCTTTAGCTAATCCCTTCAGCTTCTTTATCCAGTCACCCTTCCTCCCTATTCTCTTGGGCACTGTCCATCAGTTTGTTCTATGTATCCATGCTTTGGTTCCATTTTGTTTGTCAGTTTATTTTCTTCATTAGATTCCACATATTAAGGATATCATATTCAATTTGCCTTTCTCTGATTGGCTGATTTCACTTAGCATAATACTCTCCAGGTCCAGGGTAAGAGTTTCCTTTTTTTTTTTTTGATTCTCTTTTACAGCAGTTTATTCTTGCTTCATGTTCCTAATATTCTCTTATTTCCTTCAGTTGTTTGCTCTGTTCCATTCTTATGTTTGCTCTGGTAAAGGATGTTGTTATTTGTGGTCTTTGTTTAAAGGCATTTGTACTTTTAATTTTCTTTGCTAATAAGCTTAGCTTTTGTTGCTTTGGAACACCAACTGATTTGACAATAATGTCCACCTGGAAGCTAAGGCTCCAATTTTAGTTCGTGAAATTCAAAGTGAGCTTAGGATATGTGTGTGTGTGTGTGTGTGTGTGTGTGTGTGTGTGTGTGTGTGTACTTGTGTGCACATGCCCATATTAGAGCAGCAAGCCTCTGTGCCACAGTTTGGGCTCATCTACACAAGGAAAATACAAGATCTCAAATGACAATTCCCTTGACCTCCCTCACACAACCATGAAAATTTGCCTTTATCTGCACCCATCCTTTCCACTGCCTCTTATTAAAATGCAAGGGATGTTTCTTCTCTTCCTCTTTAGGTCTTTAAACCTAATCATTCCAAATAGTTCCTGCATGTCCCCTTTCAACTTCCTCCCATATTTCTTCCTCCTATTATGGTCAGATGTATTGGAGGAATTGTCTATTTTCACTATCCCCAGTTTTTTCTCCCTTCTTGTATATAAGCAGTCTTCTGTCCCCAGCACTCTCCTGAGAATGCCACGACAACCTTACTGCTCAGTGCAAAGATTCACCTTTCAGTGCATTTTCCCCTTCAGTATTTGTTGTAGTCAACCAGTCCTTTCTCTGAACCTCTTTGCTACTTTTTGCTTCTCTTCTCTTTCATGTTGGTGTTCTTAACTGTTCTGTCCTAGGCAGCTGTCCATGGTCCATGACGGATCCTGACATTCACTGTAGATAAATCGTGATGACTGCAAGTTGTATTCTTATTTTGAGTCTCTTTCCTGAACGTTCAGTCTGTAGTATCTAGCTGCCTATTTGACTCGTTAACTTTACTAATTCTCTATATTTGATATTGAGTCGCCTTTCCTCACCACTCTCATACCTTAATCCTTGTGTTTGATGCCCTTTCAATTTGTCCCCACACACCCTGAATGATTTCTTGCCCTCCTCTTCCCCATAGAGTGTAAGCTCTGTGAAGGCCTGGATTGTGTGTGTGTGTGTGTGTGTGTGTGTGTGTGTGTGTTTTCTTCCCCATTGTCTCCTTAGTGCTAGACCATGTTTGATAGTTAATATTTAGTAAATACTTACTTGTATGAATGACATTTCAACCTCTCTCCTTTCCTAGTGTCAAATACTGCTATGGATGGAATGTTTGGTTTTCCAAAAGTTTCCCTTTTGCAACTTATTATAGAAAGAAAAAATATTATTTCTATGGATGCTGCTGTAAAATTTATAAAATTAGCTTTTAACTATGAGGAATGGAGTTTATTTGAATCAGCAGCTGGACAGCTTATTGATTTTCTCCAGGTAATATGTGCAAAATCATTCATTTGCTTTTATATTGTTAAGATGACATTGAATTGCTAATTACTGTGTGTGTGTGTGGGTTTATACTTCACTTAGACACTGGATGACCCAGAGTCAAAGAAAGCAAAGAAGGACTTAACTCTTCTTTTTGCAATGGAACCTCTAGTCAATATAAAAAAGAACAAAGGTTTGGTCTACCCTTTGGAAAACTACAAAGAAGGACAGGCAGCCTATTATGCTAAAAAAAATTTTCCTGGTGAGTATTATTTGCCTTTTTGAAAATTAAGATAATTTTATCTGATAAAACATGCACTTTGAGTGAGGTGAGAGAATGTTCAAGGCAGAGAGAGTAGGAGGTACAAAGGTCCTGAGATGAGAGTGTGCTTGGTTGTTAAAGGAATAGCAAGGAGGTAGGTATGTCTGGAGTGCATTGGTGGTGGCTGTGGAATTTGAGAATGTGAGGAGATGAGGTCAGAGGCATAGCTGAGTGCCAGATCTTGCAGCATCTTAGGCCTTGTAAGGATGGTGGATTTTATTCTGAGTGGTGGGTTTTGAGTAGCAGAAGGAGGTTTTACTTAGCAATTACCTTGGTTGGTAGGTGAGAGATTAGCAGGGCAGTAAAGCAAAAACCATTTGTTTGGTAAGGGAAGTATACCTGCAGAGTTTTCCAGCATTAAAAGTTATCCTATCTAATAATAGAGTAATATACAAATTAACCATCACTCCACAACAAATTGGCGGTCCCCATAGCCGTAAGATGGTGTGTCTGGCCTGTCCGCAGGATCCACCTCCTGGTTTATCGCTGCTGCAGTGTCTGGGCCTGTCAGTTCTGCTAAGGTTGTGGGGGACCAAGCAGTGAGGCTTGATCTGCCCCCAGACATGGCAGACAGAGCCCGGACAGCAGGGCATGGAGGCTTCCTTAGCGCAGTGGCAGCGGGGGAAGACCCAGGTCCTGCAAACAGAGCCCAGAGCTTCCTTAGTGCAGAGGTGGTGGGAACACCCACAGGCTCAGCAGACAAAGCCCGAACAGCAGGGCTTGGGGCTTTCTTAGCGTGGCAGTGGTGGGGAAGTCCATAGACATGGTAGACAGAGCCCAGACAGCAGGGCTTGGGTGCTTCCTTAGAGCCGAGGCGGCGGGAATACCCCCAGACCCAGGAGACAGAGCCCAGACAGTAGGGCTTGGGAGGTTCCTTAGTGCTGCAGTGGTGGGGAAGACCCAGACATGGCAGATAGAGCCCAGAGACAAAGGTTTGGGGGCTTCCTTAGCAAGGTGGCAGCAGGAACACACCCAGGCCCCACAGACAGAGCCAGGACAACAGGGCATGGGGGCTTCCTTAGTGTGTTGTGTTGGCGAAGCCTCCAGGCCTGGCAGACAGAGCACACTGCAGGGCATCAGGGCTTCCTTTGCATGGTGCATGGTGAGGCAGGCAAAGAGGAGAGAGCAGGGTATGGGAGCTTCATCTCCATGGCTGCAGCGAAACCTTCAGGCCCCGCAGAGAGCAGTGAACCACGGAGAGTGGGCCTAAGCCATCAGTAGGACATCCCCTGAGAGCTCTTGGATTGTAGAGGGTGCAGGTTGGGTTGAAGGACCCCCGTGCACGAATTTCGTGGACCTGGCCTCTAGTTGTTTAAATAATTGAAAATCTGCAGCCTCTATTTTTTAGACCAGTGGTCAGCAAACTCATTAGTCAACAGAGTCAAATATCAACAGTACAATGATTGAAATTTCTTTTGAGAGCCAAATTTTTTAAACTTCCTCTAAAGCCACTGCTTCAAAATAGACTCGCCCAGGCTGTGGTATTTTTTGGACTCAAGGGGCCAAAAAACCACATGTGGCTCACGAGCTGCACTTTGCCTACCACAGTTTTAGTCCGATGAGAATTATTTAATCTGATTTTTATGGTTTATCATGTTCTTAAGACATTGTTTGGCTGCTCAGTTGTAGTAAATAATTTGTACTGAGTAATGGTACACATTTTTTTCCCCAGTAGTTTCTGAATAGATATTTTTGTTATTTTTATTTCAATTGCCATATTTCATATATGTTTTAATATTACAAACTTCTTTACTTCCATACTTGCCATACAGATTATAGATTCATGGTGATGATGATGATGATGATGATAGTCAATTTTAATCAAATAACAGCCAAGTTCAGTTAGTTTTCATATAGAAGCATCTGAAGTTTCTTATTGACATAGTATTTGCCCGGATATCAGTTGTATCATTTTTGTAGAATTTCTATGTTTCTGTGCTTTTCTATTTGAAATTTTGTAACTGATTTTTGTTTTATTTTCCTTTACTTTATGAATTGAGATTCTTGTATGAAGAATTATGGATATTCAGAAGATATTTTTCAATTAGCAGCAGTCTTGTATTCCTGTGTCTGCAACTGTTCCCAGGTGAAATAGCTATTTGGGTAATTTTTAATTGTATCAAAGGAGGCCATTATATCTAATTTAAAGTGAGAGTTAAATCTCACAAGAATTGAATCTTTCCAAAATTCTATATATTTAAAATTTTTTTAAAATATATACTTTTTATTGATTTTTTTACAGAGAGGAAGGGAGAGGAATAGAGAGTTAGAAACACCGATGAGAGAGGAACATCAATCAGCTGCCTCCTGCACACCCCCTACTGGGGATGTGCCTGCCACCAATGTACATGCCCTTGACTGAAATCGAACCCGGGACCTTTCAGTCTGCAGGCCGATGCTGTATCCACTGAGCCAAACCAGCTAGGGCAATTTTAAATCTTTATAATAACATATTTTTATCCTGACATAATTTTAAGTCTCTTTTTATTATAGTCCACCATTTTGGATGTCAATCTGTTTCTTTTTTGGGAAGTTTTTAGGTTGCCTATATCCTATATAATCCTATATAATAAAAGATTAATATGCAAATCAACCAAACAGGGGAAGGACCAGTCACTATGATGTGCACTGACCACCAGGAGGGCTGACGCTCAACACAGGAGCTGCCCCCTGGTGGGGAGTGCTGCTCAGCCAGAAGCCGGTCTTACAGCTGGCGAGTGCAGTGGCAGTGACGGCACCCTTTCCCACCTCTGCAGCAGTTGGACATCCCCTGAGGGCTCTGGGACTGCGAGAGGGCACAGGCTGGACTGAGGAACCCCCACTCCCTAGTGCACGGATTTCGTGTATCAGGCCTCTAGTTTCTAATAATGAAGGAAATTAGTGTTTTTAATGAAGAGTTTATGTTCTTGGTGACACACTGCTTTTCAGTCCTTAAGTACAAAGCCTGATTATCATCTGGAATCACTTTGCACACCATGGCCAGTGTTTAGAAATGACCTATTCATGGGTAGGAATGTTTAAATAAAAATAGTACAATACTGGTTTTAACACTGAATTCCAGGATCTCAGGCTTTCTCTGAGGTTCCTCAGGAGCTCAGATTTGGGTAGTAATATCATGGCCTGTTTAATTAGTTGAGATTCTGATGGAATTTTATTTGGAAAATTTGCTTTTACAGTTATAGAAAGGTCTGAAAAACCACAATTATAGAGCATTTTATTAACTTTTGTTCAAGTGAAAAAGTGAGGGACTTGAGATGATCTATTGTTATAGTATTTTCTATTTCTTTTGGATCTATTAGATTAGGTTATAACTTGCAACAAGTTATTTAATTTTTGAAAGAAAGATATTTGGTAGCAAATATGAAGATTATAGTGAGAGAGTTAAGCCCAAAAGTTTTAAACAAGGCTGAAAAGAACAAGGACTTTTTTTTTTTTTTTTTAATCTGTCTGCTTTTTAAAAATCATGCCCATTTTAGTTCAGTTCAGTTCAGTTCAACTCAATAAACACTTATTTATTCTTATTATGTTCCCAGCACTGTTCTAAGGTGATACATATACAGATTAATCTTAAAGCTTCCCCAAAGGAGCTCAGTTTTGTGTTTTAATCATAAACTCATTATCTTTGTAGTTCAGATATAATAAGTATGTAATATTTTGTTTAATTTCTTCATGTCTCTTTTGCCTGGTCTATATACTTTCCCACCTCCCATTCTCTCTCCTCTTACTAGTTAACCACACCCCATTTATTATTATTATTATTATTATTATTATTATTATTATATGGGAATTTAAAAAAGAAAGATATATATATATATATAAACATCTCAAATTTGGTTTCTGTACTTGCCTAAAAATGTTTGAGACTTCTTTTTAGAGAGACAGAAATAGTCTAGCACACTCGTTAAGACTGACTAGAACTAGACTGTATGGGTTTGAATCCCAGCTCTGCTACTTTCTATTCATTTCATCCTAGGAAGTAGTCAATCTTCTTTGCTTCAGTTTGTTCCTCTGAAAAGTAGGAATGATAGTAGAGTGGGATAATGATATTACTGTGAGGATGAAATGATTTGGTATATGCTTTAGTCTGTTCAGGCTGCTATAACAAAAAAATGCCATAGACTAACCAGCTTAAACAACAAACATTTATTTTCTACAATTTTGGAGGCTGAGAAATTCAAGATTAAGGCACTGGCAGACTTGGTGTCTTATGAGAACTCACCTTCTGGTTCATAAATGGCTGTTTTCTCCCTGTGACCTTGCATTCATGAGGGCTTCCCCCTTATGCCTCATTCCTTCCTAAGCCACTTCCCAACGAGATTATATTGAGGGTTAGGATTTCAACACATTCAATCTCATCTATATATCTCAATATTCCTGACAATTTACTTTCTCATTTTTATTTTCAGGATGTTCAGCCTGATAAAGAAATTGTGGTGGACATGATAATGTTCTTATGGCAGAGATGCAAATTAGGAATTCAGCGGCTCAATATATCCAGAAACGACTATAAAAAATTCACCCAGAAAATAAGCACTAACAAAGTATTTATTTTTTCCTTTCATGTGTTTTTTTATTATTGCTAATTTAAATTGTGATAGTTAAATTGTTCCTTTTATTCTACCTGCATAACTACTATTTTGTAAATACATTGCTGAGTGAGCTTTTCTTTTAAGTGTGTTCACTGTACTTCCGTCCCAGTTTAGCTTTGGGGAGTGTTTCAGGTTTTTAAGGGAGGAATAAGTATGTTTCTAAGGTCAAATGAATTTAGGTAAATTTACTGACTTTAATCTTAGAAAATCAAATAACTAAGGAGTTATATTTATTTCTGCAATGATATATTTAGAATACCAGCAAATAAAGAGATACGAGTAAATAAATAAAATATTTTAAAATAAATAAAATGCCAGTAAATAAATAAAATACCTGTAAATAAAGAAATACCAGTAAATAAATAAAATATTTTCTCCTGCATTTCCAGATTATCATATTGAAGGTAAAAGTTGTGCAGGTAAATATGATAATCTGGAAATGCAGGAGAATATATATATATATATATATATATATATATATATATATATATTATATTTTATTGATTTTTTAAGAGAGGAAGAGAGAGAGATAGAGTTAGAAACATCGATGAGAGAGAGACATTGATCAGCTGCCTCTTGCACACTCCCTACTGGGGATGTATCTGCAACCCAGGTGCATGCCCTTGACCGGAATAGAACCTGGGACCTTTCAGTCTGTAGGCCGATGCTTTATCCACAGAGCCAAACTAGTTTCGGCCAGGAGAAAATATTTTAACAATAACAGTCTGCTGGGATTCTGAGGCTTGCTGAGATTAGCTACATTAGGATGCCTGGGCATGATTTTATCAGATGCTCTGATGAAGTAATGATGTGAGTGCATAAATAGTATTTTCTTGTTCTTCAAGTGTGATGGCTTATTTTGTGCTAAGCTTTGGATTTATAGGCTTGAAAGACAGTGTTCAAGGGGCATGCCATGAAACTCGAAATATTTTAGAGGACTTTGATATTGAGCATAACAGCTCCTTTTAGGAAGGGGAATCAGAGTTTTGAAGATAATCTTCACTGATACATAAAATATTCACTGATAAATGAAAATAACATGATAAATTTTCCTTATGGTTATAGATATGCAGACCAGAAGTTTAAGTGGATCTTCTTTATAAATTTACATAAATATATTGATTGTATATATAAAAGCCTAAGTGACTGTTAAAATTGGATGACTGGATAACTGGCCAGTAACTATGATACAAACTCACCACCAGGGGGCAGACACTCAATTTCTTATGGTCCCTTCCACAACTAGCCAACTTCCTGTGGTCCCTCCCCTTGGCCAGCTGGCCCTGATTGGGACTGGGCAAAAAGCCCTGATCTCTGGCCAGGCTAAAGGACCCCATCTGTGCATGAATTTGTGCTGGGTCTCTAGTTAAAAATAATTTTATTAGGGTCATTGAATTTTATATTATTTAGTAAGGCCCGGTGCACAAAATTCATGTATGAGGAGGGTCCCTCAGCCCAGCCTGCACCCTATTTAATCTGGGCCCAAGGATCAGGCCTAAAATGGCAGTCGGACATTCCTCTCACAATCCTGGACCACTGGCTCCTAATTGCTCACTTGTCTGCCTGCCTGGTTACCCCTAACTGACCCTCCCCCCCCCCACTTGCTGGCCTGATCACTCCTCACTGCCTCTGCATGCCAGCCTGGTCATCCCTTTCTGCCCTTGCTGCCAGCTTGGTCGCCCCTAACTGGCCCCCTGCTGGCCTGATTGCCCCCAACTGCCTTCCTACCAATCTAGTCGCCCTTCACTGCCTGCCCCCCTGCCAGCCTAATCATCTTCAATTGCCCACCCTGCTAGCCTGGTTGCTCCTCACAGCACCCCTCCCCCCATGCAGCCTGCTTGTTCAGTTGTTTGGTTGTTCTTCACTAACCCCCCTGCCAGCCTATTCATAGGCAGCCATCTTGTGAGGGCAAGATGGTCAATTTGCATATTACCTCTTTATTATATAAAATAATTAAGATGCACTAATACAGAGGGATACCATATGTAACATTTTAATATAATTAGTAGATGAGCACTTCAAGGAAGTTTTAGGTTTTGAACAGTGTGACTCTTTCTACAATATAATATACTTTAATTTGATTTTGTTGTATATTTTCTCTTTTCAGTGGATTTATCTTCTGTGGCAAATAAATGAACTAATTCACTGCTACAAAATGGAAGACATTGACATTGTAGTAGTGGCAGAGGTCACATTACGATTAAGTGAAATATTGGAGAATTTAGGAAACCCGAAAAGAAAATTTAAAAGAACTCTAGGTAGAATATCGAATAAAAAGGATGAATTACATATTAATGTATATATACACATATGAGTATATAGGTACAAATTGGAATACAGATAAATTTTTTTTAATGGAAACTAGACATTTCAATATTGTGTTTCATCAAAGATGATTTATAAACAGAGAACGATATAAGTTTAACCAAGTGGATATTAAAAATAGTTATATTCTGTATGAATCAATGGCAGATGAAACTGTCTTACAGTAATATTTCTTCTCCTTTCTTCATCACCACCTGCTCCCCCCTTCTTCTTTTATGTTCTTTTCTCCTTTTATTCCGTTTTATACTTCCTGCTCTTCCATTTCCTGATAAGAATGTGTGTTTTTTGAAGAGAGCATGTTTTAGTCACCATGTTATTCTTGGTTCCTACCACAAGTTTCCAGCTCTGTCTGTCCTCTGTTGTTAAACATGGCTTTGCAGGTGGAGTTTTAGAGCCATGATTCTCACACTTTGGTTGGTATCAGTATCACTTGGGAATCTGTTAAAAGTGTAAGGCCCAGGCCATATTCCACTTCAACTAGTCTGGACCTTTCTAGTGTTTATTGGCTTACCAGGTGGTTTTGGTATGTGTTAAAGTTTGAGAACCACTGGTTAGAGGTGTCTAGCTAACACAAGCCATGGCCTGAAGTCACATTTTTTTGAAATGTCCTGTTTTAATTTTTGTGTGTGCGTGTGTGTGTGTAAAACTTGTATTAAGCAGAATTTCAAATATAAAATAGATGAAATAAATCACCATGTATGCATCATCCAGTACTAATAATTATCAACATCTTGTCAATTCTTATTTCATCTCTCTCTGCAACACTTTCTTTTTTCCTGAAGTGTTTTAAAATAAACATCATGTCATTTCTCCAACAAATACCTCTCTCTCTGTCTCTCTCTCTCTCTTTCTTTCCCTCCTCCCCCCCCTGCCCCATTGGTCCACAATGCCAATATTATTATACCTTACATGATCTGTGAAAAATTCCCATTTCTGATTGTAGTAAAAAAAAACAACCATAACTTATTTGACTGTTACAATATTTTAAAAAACACCAGTAGTCTTTTTTTGTTTTGTTAACAGCTTAACATTATTGATATCTAACAGACCTTTGTATCAACACATGATGCACACTTTATATTTAGAATAAAAACTACTTTATACCTTACAGTTTAAAATGAAATTCAGGAAACTGTTATCATTTTAGACTATCATTGTTTTTTTTTCCCAATCAATATTCAAATAAGTCTCTCTCTCTCTCTCTCTCTCTCTCTCTCTTTTCAGAAGTAACTCTAAGTAAAGGACCTAGTGAATTATTTGGGACTCCAAGCGAGCGCCGGGAAATTCTTCCAATATTACAGGTCTTACAAAATGTATTCTAAAATAGTTAAAAACATGAATGTTAATTTTTGAATAATATTAACTTTGTAAATATATAATGGTTAATTATAAAGGTAATTTTGAAAATTTAAACTTTGACAATTTATGGTTTCTATATACATTTAGAACTACAAGGCCATTTTCCTACCTTTTGCTATAGAATTTTTGAGTTCTTTACATTGTATTGTGTCTTGTGAAGAGAGCTAGATTTAAGAAATCTTAAAAAGAGATTATTTTAACTGTATGAAGAGATTGAGGAGGCCTAATAACTCTGCCAGTGCTGTTTTCAGGGATTATTTATAGTGCTTGTCTAATCTGTAGCTTCCTGTTTTCCATTCTAGACATATTGAAACATAAATTCAGGTGTGAGGTTTTTTAAAATTCTTAATTCAGATAAGTTCCTCTTAAAAGTTCCCAGGTGGATTCTTAAGACACAAGAATTTGAGAATCACTGGGTTAGTGGGCTGGCTCTCATTCTCTAAGACCTCATTGGCAGAGATGGGAATGCTAGTGGAAATTTTGAAGTGATGGTTCTGGCTTCTGATGGAAAATTTCTGGCAACTATTGCCACTAAATGAAATGGGTTTCTTAGGAGGTGTTCAATTTTCCACAACAACAACAAAAAAACTAAACATCACTTATGAACTATTGCTGTTATTTAAATTATAAAAATGTGCTCTGTCCTTGCGATGATTTACTGTTATCTGATGGGAAATTATCAAAATCAATATACAAGTCTGATGTCAACAGTGTAAATGGCATCCCCTAAAGTTGTGCAATATACAACAATCCCAGCTACACTGGGGCACATGGTTGAAGCAGTACAGGCAATTTATTGGTGTGGTCAAGGGCACGCTCAGTGTTGGGAGACCTGGAGTTAAGTCCGACTCTGAAATTGATTGCTTGTGTGATCTTGAATAAATAATTTTATCTCTTTTAATGTTAGTATACTTATCTGTAAAATTATAACTAGAGTACCTATTCTACTGGTCCTACTTAAGTTGTATAATTTAAACAAAATATTGGTAACACTGTGGAAATTGTACCTGGCATATGGTAGCTCTTCAGCTTTTCCCTTATGTTTCATATAGAGCACTGGATCTTAAACTAGGGTCTCAGCCCATGTGGGGGGAGTGAAGTGGAGAAAATGAGTGAGAATTTATTGTCAGGACAGTGCAAAATCCACATGCTCACCTAGCAGAGTCTGTAAGAGAGATAAATGATGTATCTTGCAAATATACAGGCAAATATTTTAAAAATATGAACTGCTATTATAATTATGTAAAATACTATTTGAAAGTTATACTGAACATGTGACAACTATTTTTTCAACAAATGGATAATAAAATGATAACAACTAAGGAGTATCTACCTCATAGGACTGTGGAAATTTAAGAGTTAATCTTATGTGAAGCATTAAGCTTAGTACCTAGAACATGTTTTAATTAAATGTTAGCTGTGGTGATGAAGAAGATGATAATAAGATGGTGGTGGTGATGATGATAGAATGTGAGTGTGTGGGGGTCTTTGAAATTCTTTGATGGTAAAAAGATATCCTTAGAGATCTGGGTTTCTTGAAAAGCAGCAAACTAGGTGATCAGAAAACCCTCTTGGTGCAAAAATCACCTAGAAGTTATAGACAGAATTGAACAAGTATTCTCAAGTACATTGCATAGTTCCCTAGACAGTAAGGTAAATCCCAGGAGTCAAAATAGAAAGGGGAACTGAAAACCAGAAAAAATTTTTACGAGTAGATACTGCAGTAGGTTGATGGGCTCAGTTACATGCTTAGATAACAGCCATCTTGGGGCAAGAGACGAGGCTTGGGCACAGAAAGATGAAGGCTTGGAACTGAGACTCACACATTGAGTTAGAACTTACAAAAGACTACATCTTAGGAAAAAAATCTGGCTATTTGTGTAGGGAGGTATTTCAGTGGGTGTTGAGAAGAGGAGTAGATGAGAGAAAGTCTCTCTAATGATTTATAATTTTGGGTTTATCCTCAATTAGGTCTATTATTTGAGTTTATACTATTTGAGATGCTCAAAACCTCCATGAGACCATGATTCTTCTTCTTCTTCTTCTTCTTCTTCTTCTTCTTATTATTATTATTATTATTATTATTATTATTATTATGAATTCTTTTTAGTTGGTGCACACACGTGTAGTTCAAGTGCTGGACATTAAACCCATCCTGTGGCATGACATTGTCTGTCACACAAAATATAATAATCACAATAACTGGAACACGGATTCTTGATTGAGCCAGATTTCTATAAAAAGGGTACTGTGGACAGCACTTATGTCTCTTGAATTTAACCTTTCTTGTGAGCCTGTGGTTCTTGTATCTCCATTCAACAAGGGGAGGGGCAGACATATATTACATATCTTGAATGGATATATTTAACCAAATTGTGTATATTTTAGGAATGCAAGGATGATTTAACATTAGAAAATATATAACACAATACACCACATTGGCAGATAAAAGGGAAAAAAAGTATGCATCCCATTAGTTAAAGAGATGTAATAAAAGCATTTGACAAAATACAATCAGAATTCTGAAAACCATAAAAGGAAGCTATGTACATATTTGTGAAATCTAATTTGTATTTGGAAAAAAAGGATGAGATGTATTCATTACTTTACCTTTATTAATAATACTCCATATTTAATCAAAAGGCAAATATACTTAATAATAACTATAATACTGTTGACATTGGATAGACTATTTAAATTTGTTGCTTGGTTTTGAATTATTGTTAAAAGAAGTTTAGAAATGTTGCATATGAATTTTCCTCAACTTTTTCTTTTTTATTTATAAAACCACTTTAGAAAAAACCCTTGGAACAATTATATTTGGCTTATGAACTTCTTGACAAAGCAATTGGTGCAATAAATGTCAATTGCATGTTAGCTACTTTGCCAAATGGATTATCAGTGTTTGATCATTGCTATACCAAGGTAAGAATGGGAAACTCATAGATTTAAAGTTTTACTTAACTGGGATGAGGGCTGGCCTTGCAAGTAGATAAGAAAGCATGATTTGTGATGGCTTCCCTTTCATAAGCCAGGAACATATTCAATACCCTCGTCCCAGAAGAAATCAAGAAGAGTGAAGAGTCTTTGTATTTGTCATTAAAGATGAATTTATAAGCCAGAGTGCAATGGGTTGAGAATGAGGAGGATTTAATGGCTAGGAGTAAAATAACTTGGGTGCTCATAGGATAGAACTATTATTAATATGTTTTTGTAACTATGTTTCTTTTTATTTTTACTTCAACTCTATCGAAGTACACCCAGGATACAGATGGAGACATTGCCAAACCAATCACACCAAATAATTTCATCATGGATTTACATCTTGAATTAATTCAAGCTCAGCATCAAATAGCTGTTGTGCTTCTTGACCAACTGGAAGGTATATTCATCAAAGCAAACAGTTTGTTCTGAATCAGTTTTAAGCTAAGTTTAAAATTAAAATTGGTAAATTATATACTTGTCAACTGGGTGTTTATTATTTTGTTTTTTCTTACTTCTCCAGTAAATATCAATAGATAGCTTTCATTATTCTTTACATCTTGCATAGCTAATAAGTTAGTAAACTTATAAAAATTGTTTATGTGAGCTATTGTAAATTATTGGTATTTTATGAAATCAATGAAAAAACCATTTATTGAGTGCCTACCAAAATCCAGGAATCATGATAGGCTTGTCACATAGGAGACACCCAGCCTCTACTTTTGAGCTTATAGATAAGCCAGTTACAATGAGGGAGATTACTAAATGTGATAGAAGTGGGTTCAAAGTTTTAGTTGTGGGCACACAAAAGATGAGTATCCATGTGGAATAAGAAAGTCAGGGATAACTACCTAGAAGAGGTATTAATTGACCAGGAAGCTAGTAAATACTAGTTTTATGAAGAAGATTGAAAGGAGGCCACAATTTTGGAGAGAGAAAGTAATCTTGGGCAAGGTGGAAGCAAACAGTTGTAAGGAGCAATTCTAGGAATGACTGGAATTCTCATGGCTGGATAAAACGCACGTGTTGGGAAATAACAGATTCGTCCAGGGAGGTAGATCTCAGATAGATCTTGAAGGGCTAATGGGTTTATACTTTACCCTGAAAGCTAATGAAAAACTGAGAAAGACATCTCCGACAGAGGAAAGGTGATTTGAATTTAAGTTGTTTTGGCAAGAATAGCTTTAAGAAAATGTGCCAGCAATAATACAAATAATGTGTTTACTTGAGTCTCAAAATAAGATTTAATACCATTAATTCTAGAAACTCTTCTGTTTAGGATTAAATTTTGATAAAGACATCTTACTCTTGATATGATTATATAGCCACTATTAATATAACTACCTTTCTCCATTTTAACTTATTGAGTAATTAAAGATAGAACTAAGTGTTGTAGCCTATTATGACTTCTGATCTATGTCTAAAGCATTCAGAAGCATATCGTACATACAGATAAATAGTATATTAGATCTTATTTATCAATATTAAAGATGATTTTATTTATATGAAATAGAAAAAGCATATTTTTTGAGTTAGAAGTAATTTGAAAATTTTTAAAATATATTTTATTGATTTTATACAGAGAGGAAGAGAGATAGAGAGTTAGAAACATTGATGAGAGAGAATCATCGGTCAGCTGCCTCTTGCACACCCCCTACTGGGAAGGTGCCTGCAACCAAGGTACATGCCCTTGACTGGAATCAAACCCAGGACCTTTCAGTCCCCAAGCCGACGCTCTAGCCACTGAGCCAAACCGGTTTCGGCTAATTTGAAAATTCTTACGTCCTCACATAACCTGTGGCAAATATAAGAAGATCAGTAAAACTGCACTATAGTACATTTGTTTGAATTTTAATCTTTTGATGGATAAAAATAACATAGTATTTTACAAATATTATAGATAACTATTCTTCAGCTTGAGGCCTGGTGCATGAAATTTGTGCACGAGGGTGGGGTGGGGGGTGGAGTGTATTCCTCAGCCCAGCCTGCACCCTCTCCAATCTGGGATCCCTCTCACAATCTAGGACTGCTGGCTCCCAACTGCTCACGTGCCTGCCTTCCTGATTGCCCCTAATCACTTCTGCCTGCCAGCCTGATCATCCACTAACTACTTCCCTCCAGCCTGATTGATGCCTAACTGCTCCCCTGAGAGCCCGTTTGCCCCTAACTGCCTTCCCCTGCAGGCCTGGTCACTCCTAACTGCCCTCCCCTGCAGGCTTGATTGCCCACAACTACCCTCCCTTATAGGCCTGGTCCCTCCCAACTGCCCTTCTTTTTTGGCCATCTTGTGGAGGCCATCTTGTGCATTGGAGTGATAGTCAATTTGCATATTACTCTTTTATTAGATAGGATAGAGGCCTGGTGCACGGGTGAGGGCTGGCTAGTTTTCCCTGAAGGATGGGGGTTCCCTTGGGGTGTGGGCAGCCTGGGTAAGGGGCCTGGGGTGGTTTGCAGGCTGGCCACGCCCCCAAGCGACCCAAGCAGAGGTCCTGGTACCTGGGATTTATTTATCTTCTATAATTGAAACTTCATAATCTTGAGTGGAGGCAGCCATCTTGGTTGGGTTACTTTGCATACTTGCTCCTGATTGGATTGTGGGCATGACTTGTCCATGTAGTGGAGGTACAGTCAATTTACATGTTTCCTTTTTATTATAAGTAGATGTTTAGAAAATATTTCCTTTCTTGAATATGAGTTTAATTATAATGGCAGTCTCCTTCCTCTCAGTTTTGCAGATTCCAACCGTTAGCAAAAATATATCTACCAAACTTCCAGAAAAACTAAAACAACCTGAACACATTGATTGTTTTACAGGTAATTAAAACGGTGATGACTTGTCTTTCCAAAAATTTGTAAAGATAGTTTTTATGTTACCTTTTTGATAAAGTGTTTGATTACTGTTTCAGAAGTCAGTGTAATGAATAAAATAAGGAAGAATAAGCTATCCAAAGCAATTTATTTGATGAAGAAAGCTCTTCTAATATTTGAGAAAGATGCAACCTCTACCTCTTCACATAACCTTTTGATGGTAATAATATATCCTTGCTTCTTTTAGTCTTGACATACAACTTCTGTTAAGTGAATGACTTACTTCCCTTTTCTAAAAATAATGTGTTGTCCTTAACATTAATTATGAAACTTCAGGTTTACCAAATCTAGTGATCTGAGAAGAAACAGTCTTGAGCAAAAGTAGGTTTACAGTTGTTCTTATGGAAAAGAATACAATCCTATATAATAAAAGCCTAATATGCTAACTGTTTGATCATCCAGTCATTTGTTCAACCAATCAAAGCATAATATGCCAATGATATGTTAAGGCCAATCAACCTCTTGCTTGCTATGATGTGCATTGACCACCAGATGCTCTGACTGGTAGGTTAGCTTACTTGTGGGGTCTAGCAGATCATGATTAAGGGAGACTGAGTGAGATGGGTCAGACATGCAGTGGAGCCTTCCTATAGTCCCTCCCCAGCTGGCCAACCTCCCGTGTCCCTCTCTGGCCCCAGTCATGCACTGGTGGGGTCCTTGGCCTTGCCTGTGCCCTCTCATAATCTGGGATCCCCCAGAGGATGTCAGAGAGCCAGTTTCAGCCCAATCTTACAGCAGGCCAAGGGACCCCACTGGTGCATGAATTCTTATACTGGGTCTCTAGTAATTAATAAATAATAATAATTACTTAATGAATATAATGAACATAATGAATATAATGAATAAACTCTGTGTTTCACATACAACTGTAAACCTACTTTTGCACAGCCTGTATATCTCCAGTCCTGAACTCTCCTGAAATGAGAAATTTGCTTTCTGTATAGATTGCTCTGTAGGTGCAACTTGACATGGGAAGTCAAATGAAATCTGAATAATTCAAAATAAGGGAATTTGTAGAATTTAAGTGACACTGTACCAGCATAATGCAGTCCATTCTATGGAATTAAAATACCATCTCTTCAATTGGATATTGTTAATTTATGAACCAATTAATCTTGTCTCATTCTGGCCTGGAAATTATTCTGTCTTTTTTGCTTACTCTTTATATATTTTAGAGTTTAAATTCATGAGGGAAATAACTCTTCAAGTTATGGAACCTTTTATATCCTCCCATTCCCCTTTGTATTATCCACACAAATTTGGTTGTATTGTCTGAGTGAATGGCACATGATGAGGCAGAGAATAATGCTACAAGTAGATTGGCTGATAAGGGAAAGAAAATATAGGTCAATGGTAGGGGGAAGATGCAGAGTTAAGAAGCATTTTAGAGAGAAATTTTAGTATATTTACATGCTAAGAATGAAAACCCAGAAGGAAAGAAATTGAAGATACGACAGAATGGTTAATATATAAAGTGGAGTCTAATAAAAGAGGGAAGGAGGATGAGACTGAAAGCACAGATAAAGTGATTCATTTTCATGGAGGGTGGCCTCTGATACAGAAGGGAAGGTGAAAAGAACAGATACATATTTAATTAAATCTGTTGGCAGAGGCAGAGTTGAATTGATACCCTTTTACCTCAATCATCTGATAAAGTAGGAGACAAAAATATCTGCCAAGAATAGTGAGTGAGGGTGGATAGTTGGATTGAGGAGAGTGATAATGATTGGAGAGTGGAGAGGGATGGAAGAGAGAGAGGTGATTCCAATTTAAAGAAATGACAGAACTATGAAGTCCTAGCTGAGATTGAAGTCTGAATTTTTTATAAGCATGGTGGTGGGGCATTATCCTGGTGTGGTATTTTATTTTATTATTTATTTATTTATTTATTTATTATTGGTTACTCCTGACCTGAGGATGTTTTTTTCTCATTGATTTTTAAGAAAGAGTGTATGTGAGAGAGACACATTGATTGGTTGCCTCCTGCACACATCCGTCTGGACTGGGGATCCATTCTGCAACTCAAGTACATTCTCTTCACTGGGAATCAAACCTGAGACCCTTTGGTGCATGGTCCAATGCTCTAACTACTTATCAACACTGGCCATGGCTTGGTGTGATATTTTTAGTAGCTATGACAGCAGACTATTTGGAACAGAAGAGTTTTGTATAGGGTTGGATTTTTTTCTTAAAGGAAAGCTCTGTCTTCCTACCACTGAGATGGGGAACATACTGGAGATGTGGGAAGTCTGAAGTTTCCACATTCTCCTTGTGCATCTTTTCCTTTTCTTCCTTCCTGAGTCATCCTCCTTAAGGATTTTCACCAACTATTTATTTTTTAATCTTTATTGTTGAGATTATTATAGATGTCCCTCTTTTTTTTCTTCCATTTCCCCCCTCCAGTCCCAGACCTTCCCCACTCTATTGTCTGTATCCATAGGTAATGTATATATGCATATAAAATTTTTGTTTAGTCTCTTCTTACACTCTCACTTCCCTTCCCTCTTAGAATCATCAGTCTGTTCCATTTCCATATCTCTGGTTCTATTTTATTCACCAGTATTTTTCTATTCATTAAATTTCTTATTCATTTATTTTTATATTCAATTGTTATAGGTATGTATTTGTTGCAATTTTGTTGTTCATTTTCTCCTCCTCCTCCTCCTCCTCCTCCTCCTCCTCCTCCTCCTCCTCCTCCTCCTCCTCCTCCTCCTCCTCCTCCTCCTTCTTCTTCTTCTTCTTCTTCTTCTTCTTCTTCTTCTTCTTCTTCTTCTTCTTCTCACCCTTCAACATTTTATATAATACTGAATTGGTGTAATGAACTCCTTTAGTTTTTTCTTGTCCATGAAGCTCTTTATCTAACTTTCAATTTGACAATGGTATGGGTATTCCCTTGTGGGTAACTAACTGCTTTTCTCTTGCTGATTTTAATATTCTCTCTTTGTCTTTAGCTCTTGGCATTTTAATGATGATATGTTTTGGTGTGGTCCTCTTTGGGTTCCTCTTGTTTGGGATTCTCTGTGCTTCCTGGACTTGTAAGTCTATTTTTTTCCCCACCAGGTAGGAGAGGTTTTCTTTCATTATTTCTACAAATTGGTTTTCAATATCTTGATCTCTCTCTTCTTCTGGCATCCCCATAATGCAAATGTTGGTATGCTTGAAGTTGTCCCAGAGGCTCCTTACATTATCTTCATATTTTTGGATTTTTTTTCTTTTTTATCTTCTTGTTGGGTGTTTTTAGTAACTCATATTTTAAATCATTGATTTGATTCTCAGAATCATCTACTCTACTCTTGAATTCCTGCATATTATTATTTATTTCAGTCACTGTATGATCAATTTCTGATTGATCCTTTTTCATTTTTTTGGAGGTTTCTAGCAGATTCTTGAGTAACCTTATAATTGTGGTTTTGAACTCTATATCCAGTAGTTTTCTTTCTTCCATTTCTTTCATTTGTGACATGTTTCTTTGTCTCTGCATTTTTGCTGCTTCCCTGTGTTTGCTTCTATGTATTGGGTAGAGCTGCTATGTGTCCTTGAGTTGTTAGAGTGGCTTTGTGTAGTAAGTGTACTATAGGGCCCAGTGGCTCAGCCTCCCCAGTTACCTAAGTTGAACACTCTAAGTGTACATATTTATGGGCTGTGAGCACAGTCTTATAGTTGAGACTTGATTGCTGTTGGTGCTGTTGGGAAGAATTGACCTCCAGGACCAGCTGTGATTATAGTGGGAGAGCTGCTATGCAGGAGATATTCCTATGGAGCAGGACTTTTCTTCATGGTGGCTTTGATGCTCACTGAGTTTGCCCCTTGAGTGTGCCACTTATAGATGTGTAGAGTTGTAATTTGTTATGGTCTGACACTGACACTGGGTACACTGACTCTTGGGTGTCCAAGGAAGTGCAAAGTCAGCCACTGCCTGGGGCCACTAAGCAGGAGCTACTGAGAGATCTTAAGATTTCTCCTCTTTGTATGGGGTTTAAAAGTACCCACATAAGGCCCAGCTATGAAGCAGGGCAGGCTGGTGCTGGTGCCAGGTCTTGGGTCTTTTATTGACAGGTTTAGGGCTCCCTTACCCAGTTGTAGCTTGTTTGAGAAACTTTAGCCTGAGAAAGGACAGGCCATTCTTATGCAAAACACACTGCACCCAGCTTGAGTGGGGTTGTAAATTGGATGAGGTGAAGTTTTAGGGAATAACCAGAGAGGAGCAAACAGATATGGAGGTCCCAGCATAGGTACAATGATCCTGCAAACACATTCATCTGGAAGAAAGCTGCCCCTGAGTTCCTGCCCCAATGCCAGTTTCTCCTCATATGTGTCTATGATCCCAAGAGCCTCGCCCTGGTGCTGGAGCTCAGAGGAAGAGGGACCTTATAAGTTCAGATTGTGGTGCTGGCCTTTTAAGAGGAACAGCTGGATCTTCATTAGTCTGTGTGTCACTGAGCCCCAATCTGCAGTGGTTTTTATAGCCTGTATTTATTAGTTCTTATTGCCCTTAAGGACTTCTTCTTTCAGCTCTGGGACTCTGGGCTGGAGGTTTGGTGTGTGGTTGGGGACCCCTTTCTCCTCTGCATGGCATCTGTAGAGACAGACAATCTCCATCCCAATTAAAAAAGCACACCTGGGTGACAAATCAGCTTGTTTCATGCCCCGCACCTCCTACCAGTCTCAGTGTGTCTTCTTTACTTCCTCCTCCATTTATTTCTTAAGTGAAACTATTTTAATTAAGAAAAATTATAGCCAAAATTGGTTTGGCTCAATGGATAGAACATTGGTCTGCGGGCTGAAGGTCTCAGATTTGATTCCCATCAAGGGCATGTACATTGGTTGCTGGCACATCCTTATTGGGGGGTGTGCAGGAGGCAGCTGGTCGATGTATCTCTCTCATCGATGTTTCAAGCTCTCTATCACTCTTCCTTCCTCTCTGTGAAAAATCAATAAAATATATATTAAAAAAAGGAAAATTATAAACATAATGTCCTTTGAGGATAGATTCATAGCATGCATTTTGAGACCTTACTTTTTATGAGTCATCCTCCTTAAGGATTTTCATCATCTAGCAAGTACTGAATATTTATTTGGAAGTCCTGAAATCTTCTACCTTTGCTCCTCAGTGGTAGTATTTTTTTTTTTTTTTATCCAGTGTTAAGGCTTAATTATCAG